CGCCCGCCTCGCGCCCACCGCCTCGTCGAGCTCGTTCTCGCTCCGCAGCACTGCGAGCACGAGCGCGCACGCCCGTACGAGCAGCGCGTCGAGCCTCGCGCCGTGGACGTCGACGTCGTTGAGCGCGACCGCGGGCGGGCTTGCCGCGCAGGACGAGGACGACGACCGCCCGCGCAGGAGGGCCGGGTTCGGCCCGCCTGCGACCCCGACGAGGAGAGTGGGAGGGGCGTTTGCTGGGGCGGGGAACACGGCCGAGCCGGCGAGAGAGGAGGAGGAGGACGAGGACCAGGACGAGGACGACGGGACCGAGACCGAGACTGAGGAGGACGACAAGGACGGCAAGGCGCAGAACGTCGTCGTGTGCCTGCGGTGCGTCCTACTCTCACTGAGGTTGTCCTCGTCGGCGCGCCTTACTGACGCCTCTCTCCCGCCAACAGCGTCCGGCCGCCCAAGCCCGGCTCTTCCTCCTCTTCCTCCTCCTCCACCGCCCCCATCTACACCTTCAACCCGGCCACCTCGTCCCTCTCGCTCGCGCCCTCGCACCCGACGCTCGTCAAGCGCTTCGGCTCGACCGCAGCAGCCGGCCCGCACGCCCAGCCGCGTGCCCTCTCGGACGACTACGAGTTCCGGTTCGACCTCCTGCACCTGCACCCGAGGCCGACGAGCGACCTGTACGACGCGAGGGTGCGGCCCGTTGTCAGGGCTGCGCTCGCTGGCTTCAACGGCACCGTGTTCGCGTGCGTCCACCCCCCTCCCCCTCTCCCTCCCTCCCTCTCGCGCCCACCTCCCCCGCGCACGCGCAACGCCCACTGACACACACACACCTCGCGCGCACACACACCCAGGTACGGCCAGACGGCGTCGGGCAAGACATTCACGATGACGGGCTCGGCCGCCGAGCCGGGCATCATCCCGCTCGCCATCGACGAGCTGTTTGCCCACATCCACGCCCAGCGCTCGCGTCGCCGGTTCGCGCTCCGCGTCGCCTTCCTCGAGATCTACAACGAGCAGCTGCGCGACTTGCTCGCTGCGCCTCCTGGTCCTGGTGCGGCGGCGGCGGCGGGAGGAGGAGGGGGAGGGGGAGGAGGGGGAGCGGCGAGGGGTCCCGAGATTGTCGAGAACGGCGCGGTCAAGGGCCTGACGGAGCGCGAGGTGGCCCTCCCCGGCGACGTGCTCGACGTCCTGCGCGAGGGCGAGACGCGCCGCAGGGTCGGCGCGACCGACTGGAACGAGCGCAGCTCGAGGAGCCACTGCGTGTTCATCGTCGTGAGTCGGCGCGAGCGTTCTCTCTCTTTCAGCCGCCCTTCTCTGAAAAGAAGGACGACGTCACTGATTTGACGGTCTTGGCCCACCGCACAGACGATCGAGTCGATGAGCAAGAAGGACGGCACGGCGCGCACCTCGAGGCTCGTGCGTCCACCCCTTTCTCCCTCGTCCAACCCTCTACTCACGCCTCCTTGCCCGTGTTCTGCAGAACCTCATCGACCTCGCCGGGTCCGAGTCGGCGACGGGCCAGGAGGAGCGCCGCAAGGAGGGCGCCTTCATCAACAAGTCGTGCGTCGCCTGCTCCTCCCTCGTCCCTCTGCGCCCTCGGCGTCTCACTCACACGCTCTCTCGCCGCCGTGTCGCGCAGGCTCCTCACTCTCGGCACCGTCATCGGCAAGCTCACCGACCACCCTTCATCGTCGTCGTCGTCGTCGTCGTCGTCGGCGCCGCCGCAGCACATCCCGTACCGCGACTCGAAGCTCACGCGGCTCCTCCAGCCGGCCCTGTCGGGCAACTCGCGCGTCGCCGTCGTGTGCACCGTCAGCCCGGACCCGGAGCAGGCCCAGGAGACGCTCTCGACGCTCAAGTTTGCGAGGCGCGCAAAGATGGTCGTCACAAAGGCCGAGAGGGGCGTCGTGAGTCGCTCGTCTTTTCTCTCTCTCTCTCTCGCGCGCGGCGCGCTCTTTCTTTCCCTCGTCACGCTCGGGTCCTGACGCTCTCTCTGGCGATGCGACACGCAGCTGGTCAACAAGGACACGCTCCTCGCGCAGTACTCGTCCCAGATCGCCTCGCTCCGCAGCCAGATCGCCTCCCTCGAGTCGGCTTCGGCCGGTCCCTCCTCTTCCTCTTCCTCGACCAACGCCGCACCGCCCGACGCCGCCCTCCTCTCGCGGCTCGGCCTCGCAGAAGAACGCGCGACGACGGCCGCGCAGGCCGTCGCCGAAAAGGACGCCGAGCTCGAGCGCCTGCGGGCCCTGCTCGACAAGACGCGCAGCCTCGTCCTCACGGGCCCGGAGCTCGAGCGCTCGGCGCGCAGGGTGTCGGGCACGGGCACGGGCGCGGGCGAGGGCGGCGCGGCGGACAGGTGGGACGAGCTGCTGAGCCCGAGCAGGAGCAGGAGCTTGCGGCTTGGGACGCCGGGTGCGAGGTGCGCGAGCGACGGGATGGGGGCGCTTGGGCTCGGGCGGCCGGGAGGGACGGGCGCGAGGGACTTGAGGGCGAGTGTCGGCGGGAGGCTCGCCGAGGAAGACGAGGGGAGGGAAAAGGTGCGTCCTCGCTCGATTCTTCTCGTCTTCTCGCACCGGAACGTCACTGACCGCGATTAACCCGACCGCAGGAGGCCGCCCTCACCGCGCAACTCGCCGCCGCTCAGGCCTCGCTCGCCGACCTCACCTCCACGTCCGCCTCGACCGCCGCCGAGCTCGCCTCGCTCCACGCCCAGCTTGCGCACGGCGCCTCGACCGCCGACGCCCTGCGTACATGCGTCGCCGACCTCGAGGCGAGCGTCGCGACCCTCCAGAGCGAGCTCGACGCGCTCCGCCGCGAGCGGGATGAGCTGCGGGCGGCCGTCGCGCAGGCCCAGGCGCGGTGCGACGAGGTCCAGGCGGCGAGGGACGACGACGTGCGGGCACTCGAGGCGCGCCTCGGTGCGTCTGAGGGAGCGCGCAGTGCGGCGGCGGCGGCGCTCGAGGCGGCGAGCTCGTCGGCGCGAGATGCGCAGGACGCGCTCCGGGCCGCGGACGCTCGGCTCGTCGAGCTCGACGCCGAGCGTGCGGCGCTCGTGCGGCGACTCGCGGCGCAGGACGCCGCGTGCGGCACGCGGGACGAGGCCATCGCGTCGCTCGAGCGCCAGGTCGCGAGCACGCAGGCCGAGCTCGCGTCCGTCGCTGCCGCGCGAGACGCCGCCGCCCTCGCCTCGCGCGAGCACGTGTCGTCGCTCGAGAGCGAGCGCGACCTCGCCCTCAAGCGCGTCGACGCGGCCGAGCAGCGCGTGCGCGACGTCGAGGAGCTCGCGGCCTTGCACCGCTCGGAGCACGTCGCGGCGCAGGCGCAGACGTCGCGCGAGCGCGAGGCGGCCGAGCGCGCGCTCGGGGCCGAACTCGGGCGTGTCCGGGCCGACCTCGGGCAGCAGCGCGACAAGGTCGAGCGGCTCGAGCGGCGCCTCGAGCACTATGAGCGCCTCGAGGCGCAGCGCACGACGTACGAGCGGCACCGCCACGCGGGCACCGACGCGCTCAAGACGAGGCTCGCCGAGCTGCAGGCGCGAGCGTCGACGCCCGTGCCGCACGTCGCCGGTCCCGGGTCGGCGCCGCTGTCGAGGAGCGTGTCGGGCGCGAGTCGCGCGTCGTCCCTGTCGGCGTCGTCGGCGTCGGCGTCGGCGTCGACCTCGGCCACCTCGGCGCTCGTCAGCGTCGACATGGAGGCGCACGTCGAGCTGCAGGTGCGCAACGATGAGCTCGCGGCACGGGTCGGCGAGCTCGAGCGCCTCGCTGGCGAGCGGCAGGACGCGCGCGAGGTCGAGGCCGAGGCGGCGCAGCGCGAGGCGGGCGAGCTGCGCAGCGCTGTCGACCTGCAGAAGCGGCAGCTTGACGAGACCGAGGCGCGGGCCGAGGACTGGCGTCAGGTCCGTCCTTGCTCTCTTTCGCTCTCCCTCGCCGACCGCGCACTGACCCCCTCTGCGCCCTCCTTCCTCTCCTGCAGAAGTACCTCGCCGTCCAAGTCCTCCTCGATCAGCTCACCGCCGCCGCCGCCACCTCGCCGACGCCGCTCCCGTCGGCCTCGAGCGACACCGAGAACCGCCGCCCGTCGTCCCTCTTCCTCCCCGACACGTCCCGCACCTCCTCGACCTCTCGCCGTCCCCCTCTCGTCGCCTCTCACTCGTCGCACTCTCGCACGCCAAGCTCGCCCGGCCCGACCTCGTCCTCGTCCACCACGACGGGCACGGGCACGGGCGTCGGCGTCGGCGCGACCTGGCTCGCCTCGCGCCCGCCGCCGCTCCCTTACTCGCCGCACCAGCGCGACGCCGAGGCGGCCGCACAGCGCAAGAAGCGCCGCGAGACGATCGCCAAGGACCTGGCGCGCTTGCGCGAGGGCAAGGTCGTGGGCGACAAGCGCGAGGGGTGGGAGGACAACGTTAACGCGGGCAGCCCGGCGGCGAGCCCGAGTCCGACCAAGAGCGAGTTTGGGGTCGGCGCTTTTGCCGGCGGCGGCGGCGCAAAGGCGAGGAGGTGAGCGTGTGCGTGTGTCGGTTTCGAGGCTTTCCTTCGTCTTTCTCTCTCGAGCGGCTCGAGCGCCGGTCCTGTGTTTTGCTCTTGCCGTAGATTCTCTCTTTCTTTCACTCTCAGTCTCGCCGCAACGATTTCTTGCGTCTCTCTGTGCGCCGTCGAGGTCTGCGAGAGTTGCGAGAGAAAAATCCTCGAGGTAGCAATACAACATGACGGTTCGTCGCCCTCCCTCGCTCCTCGCGAGCTCGAGCGCCTCGTCTCGACAACCTGCAGGAGAGTGTGCGCCCTTGTCAGTCGGAACCGTCTCGACGGCCAATCAAGGCGCATGCCGGCGGCTGCAACGACCGCCCGGACGCACCTCTTCTTCGTTCGCCTCGCGAGCTCGACGACCTCGACGACCTCGAACCCGGCCGACCTGCAGGGGGCTGGATGAGTGTGCGTCCTAGTCAGTCATTGCCGCCCAGTAAAGGACGGTCAAGTGAACCGCCCGGACGCACCTTGCCCCTTTGCTCGACGGTCGGTCGAGCTACTCCTCGTCCTCGGCCCACCAGTCGAGGACGCCCGTGCCGTCTTCTGCCATTGACGCCTGCGGGTGCGAGAGGAGCAGCGAGTCAGTGTGAAGATGCGGCGAGGGAGAGGGCAGGAAAGAGAGGCGGGAGGAGGAAGGGGAGGGGAGCCTCGCGCGCGCGAGAGAGAGAAAGAGAGAGAGGGAAGAAGGGACGCACAATGAGCGAGTACGGGCTCTTCCCATTCGTCCTCTGCTCGGCCGTCGCCTGTCCCTGCTCCCCCTGGGCCCCCTGCGCCGCCGGTCCCGCCGCACCGGCGGCGGGCGCCCTCGTCTTTCCGCTCGTCGGGCTCGTGTCGTCCCAGTGCTCCTCCTCGACCCGGATCCGGATCCAGTCCTTGCGCCCGATGTACAGCTTGGCGTCCTCGGGTTGGTTCAGGAGCGCGCGGTCGGTCGGGCGGGTGGGCGAGGTGTCGTCGGCGGGGAGCCAGAAGAAGGCGCGGCGGTCGTGGTTGCTGTGGGGAGCGAGGGCGCGGACGTGGCGGAGAGGGGGCAGGGACGGAAGATGGTCAGCCTTTTGGCAGAGCTCGCAAAGGGGGGAGAGGGCGCGAGACGCACTAGGCGGACCAGTCTGGGAGGAGGTTTGGCGGCACGAGGATGTCGTCAAAGAAGCCGACGCTCACTGTGTGTGGGTCGTCGCTCGTCATCTCTCTGTCCTATCGAGACTGGGACGACTCGGGCAAGAGAGAGAGAGAGGGGAGGGACGGACCGACGATGCCTTCTGGGCTCTGCGACTTGACCTTGCCGACGAGCGCCTCGCCGATGTAGGGCCGGAAGATGATGAGGCGGAACTCGCCTGTGTGCGTTCGCCCGTGTCAGCGCACCGGACGACGTGTGAGAGAGAGGAGGGGACTGGACGCACAGCGGTAGTAGAAGCAGCCGTCGCCGTACAGGACTGCGCCCTCGGACGCCGACAGGAGGTCGAGGAGCGAGATGCACAGGCCGACATTGGGGATGACCTGCGAGGCGAGCGCGTGTTAGTCGTCTGCCATCTACCGAGCGCATGTGCGCACGGCGCAGGCTCGACGAGCGAGCCCTGGCGAGCGATGCGTCGAGACGAGGAGACGAGGGAGAACGCACCCTGTTGGCGTACCGGCGGTGGATCTCTTCCCGGATGGCGTCGACCGGGTCCTTGCTGAAGTCTCGCGGCTCGACGCGGATCGTGTCCTGCAGCGTGGGGGGTGGGAGGGGTCAGCTCGAGTCGAGTGATGAGGCGCGAGGGGACGAGGGGGAGAGGGGGGGCAGGAGGAGGAGGAGGAGGGGCGCACTTTTTGGATGCAGAAGGTGAACATGGCACCTTGGAGTGTGCTGCGCCTCTCAGCAGCTCTGGCCGGGCTTGACAGCGGTGTCGACAGCGGGTGAGAGATGAGGACGAGCAAGAGCAGCACCGCCTCGTCGCTGAACCACCTCGCCACGCCCCCCTGGTGCTGGTTCGAGTCCACAGAGATGCATACAAGACTTACTTCTGACAGCTCACCGAGCCAGACCCGCTCACGTGAAGAGAGAGAGGCTCGGTCGTCGCCTCCTCCTCGTCCAAGCTGTCCTCGCCTCACCTCTCCCCACTTTCCACCACTCGCTCTCCTCAGAGCCACTGGCCAGACCCGCCACCCGCTCCATCCACCTCGTCTCGCCATGTCCGACGCCCCCGCACCCGAGCGCAGGCTCACCAAGAAGGAGAAGAAGGCCCAGGCGTTCCGCGCCCAAAAGGCCAGCAAGAAGGCCAAGGCCGCCGCCCCGTCGTTCGACGACGAGGTGCAGGCCATCGACGACGGCGAGCAGCTCTCGCTCGACCAGCTCGAGCGCCAACCACCTGTGGCCGCCGCCGCCGCCGCCAACAAGTCCAAGAAGCGCGCGCGCGACGACGACGGCGAGGGCGGCGAGGACAAGGGCGAGGGCGAGGGCGAGGTGGGTGCGGCAGCAGAGGGCGACGAGCCCAAGAAGAAGAAGCGGCAGCGGGGCAAGACGCAGGCGCAGCGGGACCGCGAGGCGCGAGAGGCGGCCAAGGGCGCAGGTGGGGCAGACGGCGCACACCGCTTGCTCCTCTTTGTCGGTGCGTCCTCGCCCTTGCCCCTCCCTCCCTCAAGCGTGTGCGACGACGCGAGCTGACCGTCCCGCCCCTCGCGCGCAGGCAACATGCCGTACAAGGTCACGGTCGACGAGATCAAGGAGCACTTCAAGCCTTGCGGTGCGTGCCCTCTCTCTCGCTGTCGGTAGCTCGTCTCCTTCAGGACGCCCAACTGACTCTCGTTCGACGAGGCTGCGCAGGCGAGGTCCCCGCCGTCCGCCTCCTCACGCCCAAAACCGCCCCCTCGCCTTCCTCGTCCTCCTCCGCCACCACCACCCCCGTCGCGCCCGCCTCGAAAGGCTGCGCCTTCCTCGATTTCACCTCGGCAACAGCGCTCCAATCCGCCCTGCGCCTGCACCACTCGACGCTCTCGCACCGCAAGATCAACGTCGAGCTGACGGCGGGCGGCGGCGGCAACTCGGCCGCGCGCAAGCTCAAGATTGACGAGCAGCGCAAAAAGTTGACGGCCGAGCGCGAAAAGGCGACCAAGAACAAGCGCCTGCGCGAGGGCGAGAGCGAGAATGGCGACAAGACGGGCAGGTGGAAGCTTGCGGCCGAGAAGAAGGCGGCGGCGGCAGAGGAGGAGGGGGCCGGTGCGGCGGCGGCGGCGGCGGTGGTGGGCGAGGGTGGGGCGCCCGCACCAGATGCGGCGGCGGGCGACAAGCCCAAGAAGAAGGTGCGCGACCGTCGGCAGCAGAAGGACGGCGGCGGCGCGGGCGCGGCCAAGCAGGAGGCGCAGCGCCAGCAGCAGCAGCAGAAGCTCGTCGCGCGCGCCGTCAAGGCTTCGACGGGCGCCAACGCGATCAAGATTGCGAGTGGGTGGGGCGACAAGGGCAAGGCGTAGCTGGCGGTGCATCGTGCTCTTCCTTTCGCGAGGCGAGGTCGGTCGGAGGAGGGAGAGGAGAGCGAGGAAGACCAGCTTCTGCTTCTGCCTCTCGTTCGCGGTCTCGCTCTCATGCGACGAGCTGGGCATTGCCTCTATACACTGCGCTGTGTGCTCGCTAGGGTTCCCTCGCTGCTCACGGTCGAGTAAAGGCAAGACCTGCGCACGCACCTGCGCTCGAGCCTTCACTCGCACCGAGCTCCGTCCGCCTCTCTCTCTCTCTCTCTCGCCTCGCCTCGCCGCTCGACCGCCCAGCCGCACGCCGAGATGGACCAGCAGACCGCCAGCATCGAGCACGCCGCCGCACCCGCACCGCCTCGTGCTCTCGACGCCTCGCGCCCTCCCCTCCTCCCGCGCCTCATCGACGACGTCCTCCTCGCCATCCTCGACGAGCTCGGGCAGCCCGACTACACCGCCGACGGCTACAAGCTCCGCCAGAAGACGTTGCGCAGCGTGTGCCTCGTCTCGCGCCGCCTGTACACGCTCGCCCGCCCTGTCCTGTGGCGCCAGGTCGTCGTCAACGAGGACGAGCAGGTCAAGCAGCTGCGCCAGTCGGGCGCTGTACTCGGTGCGCACACCAAGGTGTACCAGGTCGGCCGCCGCTACAGCGTGTGCGACCGGGAGGCGGGCGTCAGCGTCGGCGCGGCGAGGTTGCCCAACGTCGAGGACTTGACGGTTGCGGGCGAGCACGAACAAGACCTCCCCCTCTGGTGGCTGCGAGGCTACGACAGTGCGTCAGCATCGCGATCCTCCTCCCTCCCAACGGCTCGACCACGTATGCTCACATTCTCTGCCGCACGACAGACCTGCGCCGCCTCGAGCTCGTCGACCTCGACGCGATCAGCATCTCGGGAGGGATGCCGACGCTTCCACGCCTCGAGGAGCTCATCATCTCGCGATGCGCTGTCTCTCCGGACTACGCCTACCAGTGGCTTACGTCGGCGTGGCTGCCCCGCCTCAAGATTCTCGCCGTTCGAGCGCCGAGGTTTGAGCTCGCGTCAGCCCTCTCGCCGAGCTTGACCGAGCAGCTCGAGGTCGTTCTCGTCGACTCCGTCTTCCTCGACGACCGCTGGCGGTTCAGCCGGCGGTTCAGCTCGAAGCCCGCAGTGATCGTGTCCAATCCGTCGCCGCTCAAGGCCCTGCCGCGCGTCGGCATGTGTGGCTCCGAGCCGTTCTTCGGCAGCACGGACGCCACGGTACATCAACGCGTACTCGACACCATCAAGGCCGGCGTCGTCGAGGAGCCACACGCCGATCCAGACGCCGCCACAGTCCTTTTGCTCCCGCTCCAGGTTATCGACGCTGCGGTCGAAGCGTCGGTGCGTCCTCTCGGGCTCGTCAAGAACGTCGAGGCGTGGCAAGAGCTCGAGGAGCTGTGCCGGCAGCGAGGCCGGCGCGTCCTCTGGTACGACGAGCAGGAGTTCGAGCGGTCGCACGAGATCGTCCCGCGCGAGTTCAAGCGGTACTTGCGCGAGCTCAAGGCGACGAGCACCGTCGAGGCGTCGCCGTCGTCGTCGTCGAGGTGAGCAGGAGCGCGAGTCGGACGAGCAGGGGCGGCGGGCGGGTCTCGAGGCGGGCGGATTGCGAGGAGCGGCTCGAGCGGCGGTGGAATCGTCAACTCTCGTTCTCTTTCCCTTGCGAGCCTCTCATCGTTCTCTCCGAGAGCAACTCTGCGACGCGAGAGCGACGATTTGAGAGAGGACGAGCGCCTGTCGTTGCAGCGCGAGAGCTCAAAAGTCGAGGAGGTCCGGGCGCTCGTGCACCATGCGCGCGACCGACACCTTCTTCGGCGCGCGTCCTGCTCCTCCTCGGGCAGGTACGCTCGGACCGTCTGCCCTCGCCACCTCAGGAGCACGCACCGGCGCCGGCGCCGCCTCGGCTCGCTCGTCCGCCTCGGGCCCTCCTATCCTCACCTGGGCGACGCGCTCGCCCATGCCGAGCATGACGTCTGCGCCGCTCCTGCCCTCGGCCATCTCCCTCTCCTTCCTGTTGGCCTCGTCGACCCTCTTCCTCCTCCTCTCCCTCTCCCCCTCGTCCTTGTCTCGACCCTCGCCCTCGCCTCCTCCTCCTCCTCCTCCGACCGGATCGTCCGTCACGACCTCGACGACGAACCTCCTGCGCTTGACCCTGAACCCGACCAGGTTGTCACGCGCGTCGGACCCGCCCCCGAGCGCGCGCAGGACCGACAGCTTGGACCCGGGCGGGACGAGCGTTCCGGGTGGGAGGAGCGGCAGTTTCGGGGTCGAGACGAGGCCTGCGTGACGTGGGAAGGTGCGCGACAGGAGTGGGGACGAGGCGAACGAGGTGAGGCGGAGGACGCCGTCGACGGCGTGCGAGAGGCGCGAGAGGAGGGGGGAGGACGCGGTCGTGCTCGAGGGGAGGGACGCGGTCGGGGCGGACGTGGCGTGCAGGTGGGCGGGGAAGGTGAGGACGCAGGACGCGTTCGACTGGCGCAGGAGGTGTCGAAGGCGGTGGAGGAAGGCGTACAGCGACTGTGGGCGCGAGGACGAGGTCAGACGGGCACACGAAAGTGGACCTCGACGACGACGACGAGGGGGAGGAGGGGCGCACAGATGCGGTCGCCGGCCCCCACGACGGCCCGCCGAAGCCGGCGAGAGCGATCCGGAGCGCTTTGCGCGGCGCTGACGGGTCCGTGGAAGATCTGCTCGGGGACGAGAGTCAGCGCGGGTGGAAGGACAGGAGCGAAGAGGGCGAGCGCGGGCTCACCGAAAGCCGCCGTCGTTGACGAGTCGCTCGATGTGGTCGTACAGGAGCTCGTACTTGCCGCCGGTGCTCGTCGATGCGCCGTTGAGCTCGTCGACGTCGACGAGGTGGAGGAGCTTGCGGTCCGAGGACGACAGCTGGCGGGTCGAGGTGAGGTCGAACACGGAGCAGTACGTGCCCGAGTCGACGGCAGTAGCTGCGCGCACAGGAGGAGTCAGCGAGATAAATCAGCAACTTAAATAGCCTCTAAGGTTTTAAGTTTTATAAGAAAAAAAAGAATATATAAGGCTTTTAAAGCTTTTAAGGTCGATCTTCATCTTCTCCTTGAGCGCCTCCTCCTGCCTCTGCTCCTCCTCGTCCTCGAGCGCGTCCTCCCTGCTCCCGGCCGCCTGCGCCGCCTGCGCCTGCGCCGTCCTCGCTCCGCCATCGACTCCCATGAGCGCCTCGACGATGCCGCCCGGCCCGCCGTCGAGCGCGCTCGCGACGACGAGCGTGTCCTGCCCACACTCGAGCCCCTGCGCGACCCAGTACCGCAGGACGAGGTCGGCGTACGACGTGGGCGCGTCGCACTCGACGAGGAGCGACGTCGACAGCGGGAGGCCGCCGCCGACGAGGTCGTCGAGCGAGGTGAGGCCCGTGCTGACGAGCGGCGCGGCGTTGTACGGCGAGGGGCGCGTGCCACCAAGGGGCTGCACGGCCGTGCGCCGCCGGAAGGACGACATTGGCGGGGTTCCAAGATGAGGACGAGGGCGACGAGGGGACGGCGTGCGGCGGGTCGAGGGTGTGTGCGGGCTGTTGTAGAGAGTCAGGCAAGCGAACGAGGTGCTCTGCCGGCCTGTCGAGAGGTCGCGGCGTGTGGCTTGCGGCGGAACCCTCGAGGCGAACTCCTCTGGCTCACTCTCGTCGCTCTGCGGGCTCGACCACTCTCTCTTCGGGGAAACGGCCTGCGGGGAAGCCACTTTCGCTGTTCCATCTCTACAGGCGGGCACATTCGCTGCTATTCCCGCGAGGCAAACCGCGCTTTCGAGCCCGTGTGCCGGAGAGGGTGCCTCTCTCGCCCGTCGACCGTCGCTAGGTGGGCGACATCGCGCTCTGTCGCGGCTCGGGCCGACGGTGAAGCAATGTCGGTGACGTTGAGGGCGCGGCGCGGCTCATAGAGCGTGTAACGGCGAGGCGAGGCCGTGCGAGACCGCCGGCCACGCCGAGAGACTCTGCAGCCAGCTCTGGCGAGACGAGCGCTCATTTCGCGGCTATGCGAGAGCGAACAGCGTCGAGCGCGAGAGCCTGAGCAGGAAGAATACCTGGCCGAGCGAGAGCGAGAACGGCGAGAGCGAAAGCAACGCGAGCCGACTCGGCGACGCTTGGAGCGAGTCGTCCGCTCGGCGGCGTCCGGCTGCAGGGTGCCGGATGCGCACAGACGAGCCCCACGAGTGTGGGAGAAGGCAGGGCGACTCGACCGCCGAGCACTGGCGTGTGCGCAGAAGCGCGTCATCGAGGTCGGCCAGGCGGGAGGAGGCCGGGGACGAGGTCGAGCGGAGCGGGCGCAGGAGAGCGTGCGGTGGAATCTGGTAGAGGGAGCAAGCGTGCGTGCAGACTTGAGCGCGGGCGCAGTCTGACTCGAGGGAGAGCAAGTCAAGCCCGAGGTCGATGAGGAGGAGGAAGGAGGAGCGTGGAGGAAGAGGAGGAGAGACTTGCCCTTGCTCCGCTCCTCGCCCGTCCGTGGATGCTCGCACTGCGCTCTTGTGCCCAGCTTCCCACCCGCACCGCAGCCCGCTCTCAAGCCCACCTCGCCCGCCGCTCCCTCCTCCCCGTCGTCGTCCTCTCGCCGACCCTCTCCTCGTCCTCCCTTTCCTCCTCCTCCTCGCACCCCTTCTCGTCCCTCACCATGACCGGCGGTCTCCACGGCATCATCGACAAGATCACGCACCACTCGCGCCCCAACTCGCGCCCGACCTCGCCCGTCGCCGGCTCGGCCCGCAAGTCGCTCGACTCGTCCAGGCACGCCGCGAGCACCCACAGCACCGACAGCGGGCCGGTCCACCTCAAGTGCGTCCTCTCTCGCAGTCTACCTTCTCTCTACCTTGCGGGAGCTCACCGCGAGCTCCCCTCGCCCGCAGCGCCAACGGCGAGCCCGAGTCCAAGAGCGAGATGAAGAAGCGCCTCAAGCAGGAGGAGAAGGACAAGAAGAAGCAGGAGGCTGCCAAGAAGGCTGCCGAGAAGGAGGCGGCCGAAAAGGCCAAGAAGGCGGCGCTCGAGGACGTGCGTCCCCCATCTCCTGCTCCCTGTCCTCGCGAGCGACCCGGGACCTGACTTGCACCCCTTCCCTCCCTCGGTTTCCTCACGCGCGCAGGACTACTCGCCCGAGAGCTACGGCAAGCTCCCGCTCAACAACTCGTCGACCCGCTCGGGTGCGTCCCCTTCTCTCCCGCCCGCCCGGATCCGACCCCGCCGGCTCTGACCTCCGTCCGCCCGCCCCCTCGCCCACAGGCATCAAGCGCACCAAGCTCGAGGAGATCACGCCCGAGCTCGAGGGCCAGACTGTCTTTGTCCGTGCGCGCCTCCAGGGCACTCGCGCCCAGGGTGCGTCCCCCCTCTTCCTCCTCGAGACGAGACGATCGAGCGCCAGAACCTGACCGCACCCCTCCTCCCCTCCCCGCTCGCCCCCGTGCGCAGGCGCCAAGATGGTCTTTGTCGTCCTGCGCCAGCAGGACCACACGATCCAGGGCCTCGTCGTCGTCGAGCCCGAGCTCGTGTCCAAGAAGATGGTGCGCTGGGTCGAGGGCGTCAACGACGAGTCGATCGTGCTCGTCGAGGCCGTCGTCCAGCGCGCAAAGGAGCCCATCAAGTCGTGCACGATCCACGACGTCGAGCTCAAGGTCCGCAAGGTGCGTCCGCTTTCCTCTCTCGCCCCCCCCCCCCTCGCCGGAACCGTACCCGAGCCGGACTCATCCCTCGTCGGTCGTCGCCCGCCGCTGCAGATCCACACCATCTCGGAGGCGCCGTCGATGCTGCCGTTCAACATGAACGACGCCCTGCGCCCGATGGACGCGACCGAGGGCGTCAACGTCGCGCTCGACACGCGCCTCGACAACCGTGTCCTCGACCTGCGTGTGCGTCCCGACCCTCTCTCTCTCTCTCTATGTCTGCGTCCGTCTCTGACTGAGCAACTCTTCGACGCTTGCTCGCAGACGACGACCAACCAGGCCATTTTCAAGATCCAGTCGGGCGTCGGCAACCTGTTCCGCGAGTTCCTCAACAACCAGGGCTTTGTCGAGATCCACACGCCCAAGCTCCAGAGCGCCGCGACCGAGTCGGGCGCGAGCGTGTTCCGCGTGTCGTACTTCAAGAGTGCGTCGACGCGCTCTCTCTTTGCCCTCGTCGTCGCGCAGGCTCGTGCGGGCCCCTCACTGACTTGAGTCACTCGTCCCTCGCGCCCCGCCCCGCAGGCATCGCGTTCCTCGCCCAGTCGCCGCAGCTGCACAAGCAGATGTGCATCGCGGCCGACATGGAAAAGGTGTACGAGATCGGCCCCGTGTTCCGCGCCGAGGACTCGAACACGCACCGGCACCTGACCGAGTTCATGGGCCTCGATCTCGAGATGGCGTTCGAGGAGCACTACCACGAGGTGATGGAGACGATCGACGGCATGCTCAAGCACATCTTTGCCGGCCTCCAGCAGCGGTACGCGCACGAGATCGACACGGTCCGCGGCCAGTTCCCGCACGAGCCCTTTACGTGGCTCCCCGAGACGCTCGTCCTCAAGTTTACCGACGCCATCAAGCTCCTCCAGGAGGCGGGCGTCCAGCAGGGGACGCCGCCTGCGCCCATCGGCGACTACGACGACATGTCGACCTCGAGCGAGAAGGCGCTCGGCAAGATCATCAAGCAAAAGTACGGCACCGACTACTACATCATCGACAAGTTCCCGCTCGAGATCCGCCCCTTCTACACCATGCCCGACCCCAACGACCCGGTGCGCCCCACACACTCTCTCTCTCTCTTGCCGGGCGTTCGAGACCTGAAGCCTGACCCTCTCTCGTCGCGGCGTCCGCGCCCGCGCCCCGCAGAAACTGTCCAACTCGTACGACTTCTTCATGCGCGGCGAGGAGATCCTGTCGGGTGCGCAGCGCGTGCACGAGGCCCCCCTGCTCGTCGAGCGCATGAAGGAGGCCGGCATCCAGCCGGACGACATGAAGCCTTACCTCGACGCGTTCAAGCTCGGCTGCCCGCCGCACGCCGTGCGTCTCCCACTCTCTCTCTTCTCTCTCTCTCTCTCTCTCTCTCTCTCTCTCTCTCTCTCTCTCTCTCTCTCTCTCTCTCTCTCTCTCTCTCTCTCTCTCTCTCTCTCTCGTCTCTCGTCGTTGTCGTCGTCGTCGTCGTCGTTCCTCGGCCCAGGCACTGACTCTCTCTCGTTGCGCAACAGGGTGGCGGTATCGGCCTCGAGCGTGTCGTCGTGCGTCCTCGCCCCTCTCCTTCCTCCCTCGGGCCCGAGCGCCAATCGAGACCGGGTCACTGACCGCCGCTCTCCTCGCCCCCCGCGCCCACAGATGCTCTTCCTCCAGATCAACAACATTCGCCGCGCGTCGCTCTTCCCGCGTGACCCCAAGCGCACGACGCCTTGAGCGCCCTCTCGTCTCCCCCCCTCCCTCCTCCTTCGTCGGTCCTCTCTTCGCCGGCTCGTCAGTCCCACTCCCTCCCTTGTGCGCGCGAAGCGCCTCTTCCTCGTGCACCCTCCTGAATCTGAAGATCAACCCTCCCCGCTCTCCCCCTTTCGTCCCTCTCTAGATGTAACTCGGCTCTCGTTCCTCCTTGCCTTGCGGCGACTCTCTCGAGTGAGCGACAGGTCATGGCGAGCTTGCGAGAGAGAGAGAGCGAAAGGCGACGCAAGGGCGAGCTCGTCGTCGAAAGCCCGGACGCGCGGCCGAGAGACGGCTCGGGGGCACGCGACGCGAAGTCCTGCTTCGACGACGTCGGCGTGCTGGCTCTCAACTCTCGCTCTCGTCGCCCTCGGCAGTCGCGCAGCACACAAAGTTGGGGGTGTCCGACCCGCCGTCTCCAGGCCTCCCTCGCGCCTTGCGGCAACCGAGAGGAGGAACCCTTCGCACGGACGGGCGCGAAAGAGAAGAGCCACGTTGCAGAGAAATGTCCCGCGCCGCAGTCCCTCCTCGTTCCGTCGATCGCTCGCCAGCGTTTCCGGGTTCTGCTCTCGCCGCCGGTGAGGTGTGAGAGGAAGAGGTCGAGAGGGGAGGTTGAGGTCGGGGGACCCGTCAGGGGGAGAAGGTGGTGGTGGTGGTGGTTGTTGAGGGAGGTGGGTGCATCGGTCGAGAGGCAGAGTCGAGTCGCGGGGCGAGTCGATTACTGCACGTGGGGAGGAGGAGGAGGGAGGAGAGGGTGAGCAGGCGGACTTGGCGAGCGAGGCCGCCGCCGCCGAGGGCCGTCGACCGAGAGTGCGCAGGCGAGGGGGGCGCACCTTCGAGCGAGCGCGCATCTTTCTGCGCTTGCGCTTCAAACGACGGACCTGGAGGGCGAGGGCGAGGTCAGGACCGAGGTCGAGGGTGGTCGCGCGTCACGAGGACCGCGGGAGAAGACGAGAGAGGAGGACGCACGCGCTTCTTGCGCCACTTGTCACGCATACTGCAGGCGAGGAAGGGAAAGAGGGGGTGCACCGGTCAGCGCATGTTGCTGAGGAGCGACGAGGGTTGCGGCTCGGCGAGGTTTGCGGTGTCGAGGCGGGGCGAGGGTGGCAGCTCGTTCGAGCGCGGGCTTGGTTGCGTCGGCTGAGGGTGCAGGCGAAGGGTGCCAAGTCGAGAGGGCAGGGTCGGCAGAGCAGGAAGACTGACTCGGCAAAGTTGACGATGTGCGTGAGGGAAAGAAGAAGGGAAGAGGGCGCCAGCGACTTTTGGCACCGCTGCCATCGCGCGCTCGCTTCTCATTGGCGACACGTGTCGAGTCGGATCTCGCCTTTTCTCACGCCTGCTCGTCCGCGCCTGCAGAGGTTCAGTGCTGGCAGCGGCGAGCTCCCGAATGCTTGCTACAGATCCCTTCGTGGGAGAAACCGTCGCTACGAGGGAGGAGACGTCGGCGCAGCGTCCAGTCTTTCAGCACGGTCCTGGCTGCTCTCGTCCCACACGCGCGACTTTCAGGAAGGCTCGGCAGCCGGAGCTGGTCGGGAGAATGGCATGGGAGCCCTCTGCGCAACCGAAAGGTCCGAAAGGGGACGACGAGACGAGCAAATCGTCGGTGCGGCTCGGACGACACGAGGCTCGACCGTCTCGCGAGCAATCAGCCCGCACAAGGCGCGCAGGCACGGCCGCGAGCAGGCTCGAGCTGTCGCGTAGGAGCTGGAACGCGGGTGTCAATGGCGGCTCAGGTCGAGCAAGCCAAGAAGGGCAGAAGGCGCGAGGCGTGAAAGCGAACGGGCGGTTCTGCAGCCTCTGCTGCGTGCGCGCAGTCGACGGGCGTGCGAGCCCAGGAGCCACACAAGCTCACAGTCGGCACCCGAGCGTCCAGGAGGAAGCAGCTGCGCGAGAGAGCGCGACCGCGAGCCGAGGACAGCGCGACAGCGAGCCAGGCAAGCGTGCGCGCGCTGTGGTCGGCCGCGTCGAGCAGGACGCTCGCCCGACTGCTCGCCAAGAGTCTGCGCAGGACCGCGTGCAGGACAGCTCGGAGCTGCACCGAGTCGAGAGCGCGCAGTGCGTCAGGTGGGGAGCGAAAGCGAGGTGGAGCAGGCAGCGATGCCGCCGAAGCACGGCGAGGGCAGCTCGCCCAGCTCGGTCCGGACCCGCACAGCACACAGCAGCACACGGCGAGGGTATGGTGACAGCGACAGAGGGAGATGAGGACGAGCATGCGGGGTTGGCCTCGAGCTCGAGCGAGCGAGAGATCCGCCGTGGTCCACCCGGTGCTCCCGCGTCCACCGATAGCAGCTCGCTCGACTCTGACCATGGCGCAGTCTGCTCCCCTGTTCGAGCCCGAGGTGCGCACCGCTCTCGCCCCCTTCTCGCGCGCGAACCGCGAACTGAACCCTCTCCTCCTTCCCCTCCTCGTCGACTTGATCGCTCCGCCCTCGCAGAAGCTCCGCATCCTCCTCATCGGCAACGGCGGCCGCGAGCACGCCCTCGCATGGAAGCTCGCACAGAGCCCACGCGTCGACGAGGTCTTTGTCGCTCCAGGTGCGCCCCCCTCTCGCGACCGTTCTTGAGTCGAGAGCTGATCGACTCTCGTCCCACCGCAGGCAACGGCGGCACCGTGTTTGGCGCCAAGACCATCTCGGTCAACATTGCCGTCGACGACTTTAACGGCCTCGTCGACTTCGCCAAGCAGGGCAACGTGAGCGTCCGCCTCTTCTCGAGAGCGGCACCGCCTCGGCGCAACCAGCTCACCTCCCTCTCGCACGCACGCAGGTCAACCTCGTCATTGTCGGGCCTGAGCAGCCTCTCGTCAATGGCGTCGAGGGCATCTTCCGCAAGGGTGCGTCGGCCCCCCTCCCGCCTCCACCCCGTTCGAGGACCTGACCCTCGCTTTCCTTCGCGCAGTCGGCATCCCCGTCTTTGGTCCCGACGTCCGCGCCGCCGCCATGGAGGGCTCCAAGGCCTTCTCGAAGGACTTTATGGCCCGTCACGCCATCCCGACCGCCGAGTACCGCAACTTCACGGACCACGCCGCCGCCGTCGAGTACGTCAAGGCCGTCGAGCACGACGTCGTCCTCAAGGCGTCTGGGCTCGCCGCCGGCAAGGGCGTCATCATCCCGTCGACCAAGGACGAGGCGCTCGCCGGCCTGAACGACATCATGGTCAGCCGCGAGTTTGGCGCCGCCGGCGACGAGGTCGTCGTCGAGGAGTTCCTCACGGGCCAGGAGCTGTCGATCCTCACCTTCTCGGACGGCTACACGACCTTGTCGCTCCCTCCCGCCCAGGACCACAAGCGCATCGGCGAGGGCGACACGGGCCCCAACACGGGCGGCATGGGCACCTACTCGCCCGCACCGGCCGCGACTCGGGCCGTCGTCGACGAGATCCAGCGCACGATCGTCCAGCCGACGATCGACGGCATGCGCAAGGACGGTGCGTCGCCTCTCTCTCTCTCGTTGCCCCTCGTCGCCGCCGCTCGAGCCCGACCTGACCTCGTTTCTCTCTCGCGCTCGCAGGCATCCCGTTCATCGGCATGCTCTTCACGGGCATCATGCTCACGCCCAAGGGCCCCAAGGTCCTCGAGTACAACGTCCGGTTCGGCGACCCCGAGACGCAGTCGCTCGTCGCGCTCCTCTCGGCCGACACGGACCTCGCCGAGCTCATGCTCGCGTGCGTCGAGCGCCGCCTCGACTGCGTCAAGTTCGAGATGAAGAAGGAGGCGGCCGTCACGGTCGTGCTCGCCGCCAAGGGCTACCCAGGATCGTACCCCAAGGGCGACGAGATCACGTTCGACCCGCTCCCCGAGAGTGCGTCCCGCCTCGCTCTTCTCCTTCGCGCGCCGCCGAGCGGCCCCACTGACTCCTCTCCCTCCTGTAGACGTCCACGTCTTCCACGCCGGCACCAAGGCGACGCCCGAGGGCAAGATCCTGACCAACGGCGGGCGCGTCCTCGCTGTCACGGCGACGGCCCCGACGCTCAAGGAGGCCCAGGCGCTCGCGTACAAGGGCGTCGACTGCGTCCACTTTAAGGGCAAGACGTTCCGCCGCGACATTGCCTACAAGTGCGTCCCTCTCTCTCTGCCCCGTCTGTCGTCGTCGTTGCCGAGGGGCTCGAGCGCGAGATCCTGACCTTGACCCTGCGCGCGCGCACACAGGGCGTTCCTCGAGGAGGAGGCGCAGCAGCCCGAGGGCATGACGTACGCGTCGGCCGGTGTCGACATTGACGCCGGCAACGCGCTCGTCGAGCGCATCAAGCCCATGGTCAAGGCGACCAAGCGCCTCGGGACCGACTCGGTCATTGGCGGGTTTGGCGGCCTGTTTGACCTCAAGGCGGCCGGGTTCAAGGACCCGATCCTCGTCGGCGGCACCGACGGCGTCGGGACCAAGCTCAAGATTGCCCAGACGTACGGCAAGCACGACACGATCGGGATCGACCTCGTCGCCATGTCGGTCAACGACCTCGTCGTCCAGGGCGCCGAGCCCTTGTTCTTCCTCGACTATTTCGCGTGCGGCAAGCTCGACGTGCCGACGGCGGCCGACGTCGTCAAGGGCGTCGCCGAGGGCTGCATCCAGTCGGGCTGCGCACTCGTCGGCGGCGAAACGGCCGAGATGCCGTCCCTGTACGAGGGCGGTGCGTCCCCCTTTCTCTCTCCTCTCTCGGAGAGCAGTGCGTCTCGAGGAACGGTACTGACTGGATGCTCGATCGTGCCGCAGAGGACTACGACGTGGCGGGCTTTGCCGTCGGCGCCGTCGAGCGAGAGCTGGTTCTCCCGCAGCCGACGATCGCGCCGGGCGACGTCCTGCTCGGCATCGCGTCGTCGGGCGTGCACTCGAACGGGTTCTCGCTCGTGCGCAAGATCGTGTCGGCGCACGGGTACACGTACTCGTCCGAGGTGCCGTACGCGCCGGCCAAGACGCTCGGCGACGAGCTCCTCACGCCGACGACCATCTACGTCAAGCAGCTCCTGCCCGCGATCCGCCAGGGGCTCATCAAGGGACTGTCGCACATCACCGGCGGCGGCTTTACCGAGAACATCCCGCGCGTGCTCCCGCCGGGCGTCGGGTGCACGGTCGACGCCGCCAGCTTCGAGTTCCTGCCCGTGTTCCGCTGGCTCATGAAGCTCGGCCGGGTCGACCCCAACGAGATGGCGCGCACGTTCAACTGCGGCATCGGCATGTGCGTCGTCGTCGCGGCCGACCGAGCCGACGAGGTCGCGAACCTGTTGCGCGCACACGGCGACGCGCACGTGTTCCGCATCGGCGAGACGGTCGCCGGCGAGGGGTGCGAGATGCGCAACCTCGAGTCGTGGGTCGAGCAGGCGCGGGCATAGAAAGCTCGGGGGCGTTGGTGGTCCGGGTCGTCGGTCGGTCGTAGTTCCTCTCTTTCTCTCTCTCCTCTTTTTCGTTCGTCTCGTCGCTCTCGTGGAATCTAGATGTATCTCTCCACAGCGCCTCTCTCGGTCGGTCGCACGGAGAGAGAGAGAGAGAGAGAGTACAACATGCGGCACTGCTACGAGAGAGAGAGAGAACGCTCAGGACGACGGGACCTTGTCGAGCGAGGCGGCGAGCTGCGTCAGGAAGTCGCTGCCGTCGGCGAGCTTGCCCGCTGTGTCCGTCCGTCTCGAGGCAGTCAGGTTCGAACTCGTCGCCGTCGCAGGAGAGAGAGAGGACGCACGCTTGGGTTGAGTCGCGGCAGCAGCTCCCCACGCTCCGCCGCCGACGGCGCTCGCACCACCTGCGGGCGGCTTGTACACCTCGCCCTTTGGCTGCCCGGGGCCTGCGCGGTGGATGGCGTCGATCTCGCTCTGAAAGGCTGGCCCCCGTGCGAGAGCCAGTCAGCCCTGCCGTCGTGCGAGAGGAGAGAGAGAGAGCTGCTGCTCACCGGAGCGGAGGAGGTCGGCGGCAGCGCGAGCGTCTGGGGCGGGAGTGGGCGTGTTGGCGCGGCGCATGGCCTGGGCGTCACTGACTTGGTGGGCGAGGCACAGAGAGTGTCGACCTCTGGGCGGTGAGGTTACGTTGCTGCTGGCTCTCACCTCGCTCGCCTGCTCGATCCTCCTCCTCCCGACCTCCACCAAGCCAGCCACTCGCGCTCCAAGGCCATGTTCCGCTCCGCCACCCGCTCGCTCGTCGCCCCGGTCGCCCGCCGTGCCGTCCTCTCGCCCGCGTGCGTTGCCCCGGTGCGGTTCGCCCCCTCGCTCCTCGTGCAGCAGCGCACCTACGCCGCGTCGGCCCTCGCCCCCGAGACCATCAAGCACCGCATCGAGGACGTCCTCAAGTCGTTCGAGAAGGTCGACGCCTCAAAGGTGAGCCTTGTCCGGCCCTCTGGCGCCTCTCGCTTCCCTCCGAGGATTTGCCCCCCTCCTCCCATCTCCTTCGTCACTCGCACCCGACCTCCGCCGCCGCCGCCCGCACAGCCCCCCCGACGCACACGGACTGACTCGCTTTGCGCCCCTCGCTCTCACCCGCAGGTCGCCCCGACCGCGTCCTTCACCAACGACCTCGGCCTCGACTCGCTCGACGCCGTCGAGGTGGTCATGGCCATCGAGGGTGCGCCCCACCTCTCCCCGGGGCCTTGCGCTCGCCCGACACTGACACTTCTCTCGCACGACCACCTCGCAGAGGAGTTCGCCATCGAGATCCCCGACGAGGACGCCGACCGCATCACCACCGTCGGCGAGGGTGCGTCTCCCCTCACCTCTCCCTCCCTCTCTCTCTCCTTCCTCCTGCGCCGCGCGCCCCTGACACCCCCCTCTCTCCTGCCCTGATCCGCCCCGACAGCGATCGACTACATCACCAAGTCCCCCGAGGCGCGCTAAAGCCTGGTCTCGCGCGGCGCACGACCGGGAGGGGTCGGGTCTGTAGAGCGAAACGGAAAGGTCCAAACGCATTTCACCGAGCTGCTGGCGCGAGGTCCTGAGAGAGAGAGAGAGAGAGCGCGCGCGCGAGCGAGACGGAGAGCGCGTGTTGCGCAGCCGCGAGCGCTCGACTGCAAGAGCAGCTGCGTCGAGCGTTCTCTCTCTCTCTCGAGAGCATGCTCCGACGGGCGCAGAAGAGAGCTGTATGCACAAGAGAGAAGGAAAGGAAGCGCGAGGCATCTACACCAACGTCCGTCGAGCGCGCCCGACGCTACCACCAGGCCCGGGCGGACCTCTCAGCCCTCCTCCCTCCCTCGCTCGCTCCACCTCGCGCGCCGCACCGCACCGAGATCCGCTCCCCCCCTCGCTCCCTCACTCCCTCGCTCGCTCAGTACCCCTCGCCCGTCGCCCGGACCTCGACGTCCCTCCGCTCGCCCTCGCGCCGCTCGACCGCGTCCTCCCCCTCGAGCGGCCGCTCGCGCTCGAGCTTGCGCACGTCGCGCGCCTTTGCCTCGCCCGCCCCCGCTCCCTCTCGCGCTCCCGCTGCCGAGCAAGTGGTGGTGGTGGTGGTCGCGGTGGAGGTGGAGGTGGACGTCGAGGGGAGCGGCTGGTGCGCGGGCGGCTGGGGCGAGCGCGAGGGGCGCGCACGCTCGGACGGGTACCGCGGGCGCGTGCGCTCAATGTCCTCGAGGAACGAGTGGAAGCACAGCTCGACGGCGTCGACGTGCCTGGGTTGAGAGAGGGCGAGGGCGAGGGCGGAGGTGAGGGCGAGGGTGGTTGGGGAGGTGAGGGAGTGAGAGGAAAGGAAGAGGACGGCCCGACACAAGTGTCAGCCCCCTGCGCTCCTCGAGCGAGACGCCCCACGAAAACGAAAGAGAGAGAGAGAGGGAGGGGGTTGACGCACCAGAAAAAGTCGCAGTGCTCGCCGTCGTCGAGTTTCTGCACGCGGATGAGCTGCACGTCCGTCTCGCGCTCGCGCAGGCGCTTGAGGAGCGGCTCGGTCAGGACGAGGTAGTCCTTGCCGCCGCTGCGACGGGGGGCGAACGATCGGGTTCGGGTTCGGGAACGAGTCAGTGAGGGTTGCGAGGGAGCGGGCGAGGAGGAGCGAGAAGGAGCGAGGGGACGCACTGGTGGATCGCGAGAGGGGGGAACCGCTTGTCGAACCACTTGTCGGCCGTGTCGTCGAGGACGCACCCGCGCCTGCACGTCGACCCTTGATCAGATCCTCGCTCTGACGCTCGCGCGCAGAGAGAAAGAGAGAGAAAGTGAGTGAGGGGACGCACGTCGAGAAGCCGGCGTAGCCGGTCCACCAGAAGATGGACGCGCTCGAGACGGGCGACGGCATGAAGCAGAACATCTTGGCCTTGCGGTCGAGGAGCTGCGGCGAGTGAACAAGTGTCAGGGCGAGATTGCTCGAGTGCGGCGGGAGCGGCAGGGCGCGAGGCGAGGGCCTGAGGGGACAACGCGAGGGAGAGAGGGCGACGCACCCAGTTGGCGTCGGTCCACGAAAAGAGGAACGCAAACATCTGGTATCCGAGGAGGCCAAACAGGCGCGACGGGACCCAGTCGTACGAGATGCGCATGAGCGGGATAAAGTCGAGGAGGCCTGTGTGCGTCACGAGCAAGGGCGCCCGCTCGAGGAACGTCAGGACGCTGCTTTTGACGACGACAGGCTCGACCGCGAGACGAGGGAGAGGAAGGAGGCGAGGGAGAGGAGGGGGGCGAAGGAGAGGCGAGGAAGAGGAAGAAGAGGAGGGAAAAGAGGGCCGACGCACCGAACCACCTCCTCCACGTCTTCCACCGCATGTTCTTGAGCGCCGTGAACGGGAAGCCCGTCGTGAGCGGTCCGGCGTACACGGCGGGCGCGAGCGCGATAAACAGGCTCAGCTTGTCGCCCAGCTCGGGCACCATCCCTTGCGCGAGCGAGCAAAACATGGTCGCGTTGCCCTGCGAGTGGCCGATAAAGGCGATCTGTGACCCGCCGCGACGCGCCAGCCAGGGTCAACACGCTGCGCGGGGCGACGTGGGAGAGCCAAAGGGAGAGAGGGTGAGAGGCGGGGCGCACCTTGTCGTAGCCAGTGTCGCGCCGGACGTGGTCGACGAGCGCCGGCAGGTCGTACAGCGCGAGCTCCTTGATGTTGTAGTCTGCTCGAGAGATGGAGAGATGGGTCAGGGTGCGGCTCGGGGAGCAAGAGGGAAGAGCGAGCGTCGCGACGCACCCCAGAAGCGCGGGTCGCTGCGCTTGAGCCAGGCGTGGCCCATGTCGAAGACGCCTCGGGCGTTGCCGAGGTACACCTGGTAGTCGCTGTGGGCGAGGACGCGCAAGGTGTCAGTCTCGGGCGAGGTGGTAGGACAGAGAGAGGGCAGGACGGCAGGACGCACCCGTGCTCGGCGAGCCAGAAGGCGAGCGAGCGCTCCTCGCTCGTGATGCTGCAGGCAATCGAGAGCGCCGTCAGTGACTCGTCCTAGATGAAGGAGAGAGAGAGGGGGAGACGCACAAGCTGCCGCACGACTGGAACAGGCCGTGCTGGATCAAGACGGGGAAGCCCTTGCGGCCGTCCGAGTGCACCTTTGCCTCCTTCTTGAGGCACACGACCTTGAACGCCTTGAGGAGGTACCCGTCCTTGGTCTCGACCGTCTGCTCGACGACGTCGAACCCGCACCGGAGCGCATAGTACCGGATGTCCTTTGTGACGCGCTCGGTCCTGCGCGCCTCGCGCGCCGCGTCCGTGTCCCACACGCGCCGGTGCCGGTCGGCGTTCAAGCCGCGCACGTACCGCCTCGCGGCCTCGACGAACCGTGACGAGAGGGCCCAGACAATGATGAAGATGAGGAACGCGGCCGACGCGGCGTTGGCAAACAGCTGCAGGAAGAAGAGCTTGAACCGGCTGCGGTACGTCGGCGGCGCGAGCGGGCCCGAGCGCGCCGTCGAGGGGAACGTGCCCGACGATCCGAACGCCGAGTGCGACAGGGTGAAAGCGCGTGGGCGCGGGCGCGACGGCGTCGAGTCGCCGATGAGCGGGAGGCGCTCGGCGTGCGGGCCGTCGTGGTGGTCGACCGCACCGCCGCCGCCGGGGAAGAAGACGTCGTCGCCGTCGAGCGTGTGTGCGTCCTCGGCGTCCGACACGGACGCACTCGAGATGGCGGGCGAGGGCAGGGCCGTGTTGGCGTTCGAGAGCGGCGAGGGACGCGGGAGGTGCTCGACGAGCTCGTCCGAGGGGCCTGTGGGCGTGCTTCGTCAGGCGCGTTCGGGCGAGAGGAGGAGGAGGAGGAGGAGAGAGAGAGAGACGCACCCGACAGGTAGTCGCGCGGTCCAGCTTGTCGCCGACCGGGCACGTCGAGGTTGAAGTGGGCGCGGACCTTGTCCTGGAGCGTCTCGCCGTCGTAGCCCTTGTCGAGCTCGGCGCGTTGACGCTTGGCGCGATTGTTGCTCGTTGACGATGCGGCGCTGCTCTTGCTCGTCGTGCTGTTGGCGCGCCCACGGGAAGAGCTCGACGTCGAGGCGTCGAGGTCGTCGACCTCGATGACGGGCGGCGGGGGCGCGACGCTCAGGTCCATGGCGGCGATGCTGAGGCCGAGCGAGGACGAGGACGTAGGGGTGACGCCGCCCTGGAGCGCAAAGGGGGCGCCGCCGCGCGAGTGGAGGGTCGAATCGGCGCCGCCGGCCGAGGGCGGGGCGGCGCGGACGGCGCTCGACGAGGCGGCGGCGGGGTCTTGGTGTGCGGCGACCGTGTGGCCCGACAGGATGGCGGTCGAGGTCGGGAGGGCGGTCGGGCCCTTTGGTCGCTCGGGGCGGGCCATGGGGCCGGGTGGGTCGAGGTTGAGGGAGGGGGAGGGGGGCGAGGGGTCGAGGGTGGTGGGGGGCAGGGGTGCGGCGGCTCGCGGGCGCTACGGGTGCATGCACTGGCGGGTGTCACGGTGCGGGTGGTGCGACTGGTCGAGGTGAGAGCGAGGCGGGTTGAGCGTGAACTGCGGCGGACGACGACGTCGCGGCGAAATCGCGAGCGGGGGGGCACTCTCGCGCTAGGGGCGCGGTGCAGCGTGGCGCCTTGCTGCAGAGACTGTCGTACAGCTCCCACCAGTCCAGCCGCCCCTCAGGACGAGAGCGTCGAGCCGTTGTCTCCGCGGACAAGGTTGGCCGTCTCGAGCTCGAGTCTCTCATCTCGACCCTCCTCAATCAACCCACACACCCACGCGCCACACGCAGCCATGGACGACGAGCGCCTGTACTCGTTCGCCATCCCGCCCCCAGCCGACGACACCCCCTCGGCCCCGGTCCCGCTTGCCGGCGAGCGCTTCGTCCACCCGTCTCGCGTCCAGCTCTCGTCCGCCGCCGCCAACAACAACAGCAACAAGCGCAAGCACGACGCCGCGCCGACCACTGGGCCCGCCGCAACCCGTGCCGCCCACTCGAAGAAGCGCGGCGCGCCCGCACCCATCGTCGTCGAGGACGAGCACGACGAGCCCGCACCTGCTCCCGCCGCCGCCGCCGGCGCCGACGACGAGGACAAGCCCCTGTCGCACAAGGAGAAGCGCCTCGCCAAGAAGCGCAAGCTCGCCGCCGAAGCCGCCGGCCTCGACCCGGATGCGCCCCTCGCCGTCGCTCCTGCTGCTCCCGCCTCGACGCCCTCCAGCGGGCCGGCCGCAACCACGATCGGGACGACGCTCGTCGGCAACACGCCGGCCAAGGCGGCGCACGGCATCTGGGTCGGCAACATGAACTACGCGACGCACCCGCGAGAGCTCCTCGCGTGGTTTGCCGGCCACGGCCTCAAGGACGTCGTGCGCATCAACATGCCCGGCGGCAAGCGCTCGCACGAGAACAACCGCGGGTGCGTCCCTTCTCTCTCTTTCTCTCTCTCTCAGCGTCGGCGTCGACGAGCACGACCTGACTCTTGTGTGCGCCGCCCCCTCTTCGACCAGGTTCGCCTACCTCGACTTTTCGACCGTCGAGGACCAAGAAGCGGCCGTCGCGTGCTCGGAGAAGAACCTCGACGGGCGCAAGCTCCTCATCAAGGCCTCGTCCGACTACTCGGGTCGCCCGGCGCCCGCACTCGGTGCGGCCGGCGCTGCAGCCGGCGGCGCCGTCAAGGACGTCCTCGCGTCACTCGACCCCTCGGCTCTCGAGCGGCCCGACCCACGCGCCGCCGCACACCACGCCGCGGCCTCCGCCGCCGCCGAGGGTGCCGCCCCCGCCGCCGCCGCCGCAGCAGCCGCAGACGGCACCAACGGCGTCGCGCCGCCGACGCTGAACCGCACGGCGCGCAAGATCCTGTCGCGGCAGAAGAACCCGGTCGGCCCGACCTTGTTCCTCGGCAACCTCGGGTTCGAGACGACGGTCGACGACATCCGCGACATGTTTGACCGCAACCAGGTGCGGTCGAGCGAGTGGGCGCCCAAGGGCAAGGAGGGCAAGAAAGCGAGGAAGGCCAAGGGCAAGGGCAAGGGCAAGGAGGGTGAGGAGGACGAGGAGGAGGCGGCAGAGGCCGGCGACGAGGACAAGGCCGAGACGGACCGCGACGACGTTGGGTCGGACGACTCGGACGAGTCGTCGAGCGAGGAGGAGGACGGCGACGACGAGGGCGGCGAGCGGGACGCGGGCGACAAGAAGAAGCGCCGCGAGGACAAGAAGGCCAAGGGCCCCAGGGACCTCGCCAAAGCCAAGGACGCCGGCATTCGCAAGATCCGCATCGGCACGTTCGAGGACACGGGCAAGTGCAAGGGGTGCGTCCACTTTCCTCTTCCTCCTTCCCTCTCTCTCTCTCGCGCGCGCTCTCTCTCTCTCTCGCGCGCGCTCTCGGACTGACCTTTGCTTTCGTGCGACGCGTGCAGCTGGGCCTTTGTCGACTTTCACCTCGCGGCACAGTCGACGCGCGCACTCCTCAACCTGCACAACCACCAGCTCAACGGCCGCAAGCTCAACGTCGAGTACGCCTCGGCCGAGGCCGTCCGCCGCGGCCAGCTCGGCTCGCGCGCCGTCAGCAAGCAGCACGGCCGGCAGCGCCGCGAGGCGCCCGTCGACAATGGCGACGGCCATGGCGCCGACAACGGGTACGGCGAGCGCGCCGGAGCAGGGCGGCGCAAGCGCGGCGACCGCGAGTGGGACGACGGCGACGTGCGGTCGTTCGCGGCCGAGGCGGTCGCCGACGCGGCGGCAGCGGCGGGGGGCCCGCCGCAGCGGCAGCGGAGGGAGAAGCAGCCGAGGGGGGCCGGGCGGGAACCGCAGGCGCTGCCTGGCGGGAAGCGGGCAAAGCCTGGCGCGGCGCTCGCCATGGCGCAGCGCGCGAGCGAGGCCATCGTTGCGAGCACGGGTCGCAAGGTCACGTTCGACTAGAGTCGAGTCGAGGGCGGTGCAACTCGCTCGAACGGTGTTTCCCTCGTCGTGTGCGCGCTATCATGGTCGTCGAGAGTGAGAGCTGGCCAAAGGGCGACCTTCTCAAGAGGAGAGGCGGGGCGGAGCGGGTCGAGCGCAGCGGCCGAGTCGGTCACGTCTTTCGGGCGGGGAATCCAGTGGCAGTGCAGTACTGTCGGAGCGGGCGAGCGAGAGATTAAGCCGTGAGCGGGTGAGCCGCGCTCGCTCGCCTCCTCCGCTCGAGCGGGAGGGAGCGGCCCAGGCTCGCCTTGGCCTCGCTCTCCTCACCACACCCAGCTCCTCCTCGCACGAACCTCACCTACGACCAACGATGGCCTGCCCTCAGAAGCCAAGCCTGCCCGCCCACCTCGCCCAGGAGCCGAGCGACCTCCCGCCCAACACGCACCCTCTGCCGCGCACCGGCCAGCTCGCCGCCCTCCTCACGGGCCTGCGCAACAAGGAGACGTCCCGAGGCGCGTTCGTCTTCTACGCCGACCGCGTCAACCGGCTCCTCGTCGAGGAAGGTGCGCCCAATCTCTCTCTCTTGTCCTCGTCCCCCGCAACTCGCACCACCCAGCTCGACGACGGGCTGACCTCGTCCCGCTCCCGCCTGGTGCACGCAGGCCTCAACCACCTTCCTGTTCTCGAGAAGTGTGAGTCCACCATTCTCCCACCTCGTCTCCCTGCGACCCGAGCGCCGAGCCCTGACCCTCGCTCTCCTCCTCGCCTCATCTCCCCCACCCGCAGCCGTCACCACCCCGACAGGCGAGTCTCCTCCCCTCTTTTCCTCTCCTCTACGTCCCACTATCCCGGAGCGGCGGCTTACCCCAGTCTTAGACCCGTCGCGCGCAGGCCTCGAGTACAACGGCGTCGGGTTCGAGGGCAAGATCTGCGGCGTGTCCATCATGCGCGCCGGCGAGAGCATGGAGGCCGGTCTGCGCGAGTGCTGCCGGTGCGTCCTCGTCCTCTCGTCCTCTCTCGCTCGGCGGCGCGGCGAGTCTGTCGCGCCGGCCGAGGGTACGACGAGTCCTCAGGCCGCTGACCTCGCCTCTCTCTCTTCCTCTCGCAGTGCCGTCCGGATAGGCAAGATCCTGATCCAGCGCGACGAGGAGACGGCCCTCGCCAAGCTGTTCTACGCCAAGCTGCCCGAGGACATCGCCGACCGCTACTGCCTCCTCCTCGACCCCATGCTCGGTGCGTCGGCGCGTCCTCCTCTACTTGCCCGCCAGCTCCCTCGCCGGCGCGCATCCTCGTAGCTTCGACCCTGACGCACGTCGCACGTCCCACAGCGACCGGCGGCTCTGCGATCAAGGCGATCGAGGTCCTGATCGACCACGGCGTGCCGCAAGAGCGCATCATCTTCCTCAACCTCGTGTCGTGCCCCGAGGGCCTGCGCGCCATGTACGACGCGTACCCGCAGGTCAAGATTGTCACGGCCTGGGTCGACGAGGCGCTCAACGAGCAGAAGTACATCGTGCCCGGCCTCGGCGGTCCGTCCCTCTCCCTCTCTCACTCTTGGCCGACCGTGCCGTCGAGCGGGTCAGCTCACTCTCCTCGCCCGCCATGCACAGACTTTGGCGACCGCTACTTCACCTCGCGGTGAGCGCGCGCATCGGCCTCTCCTTCTCCCTCTCGACCGCCTCGGCCAGCAACCGCCGCGGTCGCCGCCGACCTTCCTCCCTCTCGCGCTACGCGAACGCCTCTCTCTCTCTGCGGCGCGCATCCAGCCAGGTCCTGTCGAGGCTGTACAAGACGAGCATTCTGTCATGTAGACTATTCACGAGCGCGCTTTCTCTCGTGTGCGAGGCGGAGAGCGGGAGCGAGAGCGCTCAGGCCTCCTTCACGAGCGTCGCTCGCGGCGACATCTGCCGCCTCGTCAAGTCGAGCGCGTGATCTCGACAAGTCTCGCGGCGCCACGCTGTCGGTCGCCTGGCGCAACGTACAGCTGCGCTTGGGGCCCTTCTTCGCCGGCAGCGCTCGATCGCGCGCCCCGCTCCCTTTCCTTCCCCTCCCTCGTCGCCTCGCCGAGCGCTGCCCTGCTGTCCGCGTACGAGGCGGCCGCTCGACTCGCTTGCTGCAGGTCTGCTGCAGGTGCACGCGGCACGCTGGCTTTGATCACGCGGCGAGCTGGCGGCGGACCCTTTACCGCCGCCGGAGTTGCGGATGCACTTGAAGGCGGTCTCGCCCAGACCTGCTGCACGCTTCACGTCTCATGCAGTTACGGCTGGCACACCTGCGCAGGCGATCGCTGCCCAAGCGGTACCCGCAGTGTCAGTCCCCGCCGCCGCCGGGTCCTTCGACCTCTCGCTCGCTCGCTCGCTCGCTCGCCTCTCTCCTCCGCTACGCTTCGTTGCGCACTTGCTGCACACGTCGATCCTCGCGTACTGCTACAGTCGCCATGCAGCTCCTCTCGATCCTGCTCATCCTCGTCGGCGGCGCCTCTCTCGCCGCCACGGCGCCGACATGCGGTCCGAGCACTTTCGTCGGCACGGACGGTGCGCCAGGCTCTTCCTCCCTCTCGCACTGCGAGCCACTCGAACTGACGATCTTGGACGACAGGCGCATGCGTGCCCTGCCCTTCTCCCTTAGCGACGTGCTCGAGCGCGACGCAGGCTCTTACGTGGTGCGCTCCCTCTCTCTCTTTTTCGGTCGGTTCATCTGCTACATCAACGACTCACCCTCGAGCACGACAGTGACCGCGGTCTATGGCTCACACCCGACAAGAAGTGCGTCCGTGCCAGCAAGTGCCCAGGCAAGACGTTTCCGGACCAAGCGAGTGCGTCGAGTCCTCTCTCTCGTTCGTGTACAAAGGAGCTCACACCTCCCCCTCGCTGCAGCACACGTCTGCATCCCGTGCGCTTCCAGGAATGCCGCAACGTGCTCGGACGCAAGCGCCACGGGCGCCACCTCCTGGTACGCTCGACCTTCCCAAGTTCGACTCTCGGGTGCTGGCGGCGCCGGGCCTCGCCGAATTGCGCTCACTCTCTCGTACCGACAGCATCGATGGCTGGTGCCTCTCGGCGGGTCAGTGCTTCTACAGCAAGCGTCTCCCAGCCGGCACCTACTGCCCGAGTGCGTTGAACCTCTCTCCCTGCTCCTTCCGCAGCGCCTCACGCCTGTCTCGCACGCGCGCCTGCCACAGATCGTGTTCTCCAGCTGTGCCCTGGCGGGTCTGGCGTCACCAAGTGCGACTCGGCCGGCGCGACGGTCGCCTGCAACAGCGGCGACGGCTACCACCTCCAGAGCTCGAGCAAGAGCTGCGTCTTGTGGTTCGTCCCTTCTTTCATCTCGGTCGACAGCGGTCGGCGTCGTACCTGATGCGGCGACCCCGACACAGTCACGGCTACGAGCTCTGGGACGCAGCGAGCGAGAAGTGCGTCTGCGCGAGCGGGACCTACGCAACCGGTCCGTGCACCGATCTTCGTCCTCCTCGACTCGCTCTCTTGCGGAGCCGGCTGACTCTCTGTACCTCGCAGACATCGTCGGCTGCGCACAGTGCACCGACTTTGGCGCACTCGTCAAGACCTGCACCGAGGCTGGCCCGCTCACGTGCACGGACGGCAACGTGCTGTACGACGGTCGCTGCTTCGCAAGCTGTCCGGCGGCCACTTTTGCCGACTCGCCCAGCACGTGCAAGGCGTGCGACTCGGGTGTCGCGGCGTGCTCTGGCGCGGGTCCTGGGTCCGCCACCGCATGGTCCGTCGAGACCGGCTCACTCTCGCAGAGCTTCGCCGACTCTGACCTCGCCCTTTTCCGTGCGCAGCGGGACCGACTCGAGCGGTACGCAGCTCTACTTGTACCAGGGCAACTGCGTGACGAGCAACCAGTGCCCGACTGGCGCCAACTATGTCCCGCCGGGCACGTTCGCCGACGCGACGAGCGGGACGTGCGTCGCCTGCGCCGAGCGTTTCGGCGAGGGCGCGTACACCTGCACGTCGCAGGGTGCGACAGGCTGCATCAACGCCATTGCGCACGAGGGAAGGTGCCTCGCGTCGTGCCCGGGCGGCACGTATCAAGAGGGTGCGTCGACCTCGCTCGCTTTCTCGACGTGCGCACGGTCCCTCGCGCTCGCGCTCACCCTCTCTGGCTCTCGTACGCAGGCCAGCACTGCAACTCTTGCAGTACGCTGTCGTCGGGGAGCCCCTGCAGCCTCGACATGGCGACGTCTTGGTGCGCTCACCGATTCTCCTCCTCGCGTCGAGGGCGAGTCGACCTTTAGCTGACCTCGGCATGAGCCCCGCCCGGCAGCAACTACTTGCTCGACGAGGCGACGAGCACCTGCACGTCGTCGTGCCGGCTCAACCCGAGCGGCTCGCTGCCAGCCACCTACCGCAGCGGTCCGTGCACGACGTTCCTCGCGCGCCCCGAGTCACCCCCGCCTCGTCGCCTCGCTGACCCTCGTCCTTCCTTGGTCCAACGCGCGCAGGCAGCGCCTGCAAGTCGTGCGGCCCGCTCAACGTCTATGCGTGCGACGAGGGCGGGCCGTATCAGTGCCTCGGGCCGTCGACGTACCTCCCGAGGGCCCGCCGGCCGCACAAGTGCATCACGGTCGACCAGTGCCTCGCGCTCGGGCAGGACAGGTTCATCCAACGCTACGGGCCGGGCAAGATCCTGTTCGAGTGCACCACCTGCAATGCGGGGATGGTGCCCACCAGCGATAAATACAGGTGCGTCTACGGTCCTTGAGGTCGGCGCGACTTTCACCTCTCTGTCTCTCTGTCTCTATCTCTCTTCTCTCTCTCGGGCTCTCGTCTCGCGCTGTAACCCAAGTCTCGATCGGTCGATAGTCACTGTCTCTGAGCGTGAGCGAGAGAGAGAGAGTGACACTCGAGCTCGTCGCCGTCGCTCACTCGACCGCCCGCCCCCCTCGCCATCTACGCCGCCGCCCTGAGTGCCTCGCCCTCGTCCACCCACTCGATCCTCGCGTCGCTCCCGCCCTCTCGCCCGAGCCAGAACGGCCTCAGCACAGCGGGCAGCCGTACGCGGACCGGCTTGCGTGCGTCGTCGAGCACGGCGCCGTTCTCGAGGAGGGCGACGATGAGGCGCGGGATGGCGGCTGCTGTGCCGTTGAGCGTGTGGGCGTAGGCGAGCTTGGACGGTGAGGGTGGGTGGTGGGGCGAGGAGGAGGGGGACGAGGGAGGAGAGGAGGACGAGGGAGAGGGGGACGCTGACGGCCGGTACCGGATCCCGAGGCGGCGCGACTGGTAGTCGGTGCAGTTGGATGCCGACGAGAGCTGGAGGTGCGAGAGATCGACAGTCAGTCGAGGTCTCCAAGGGAAAGAGAGAGAGAGAGAGAGAGCTGGACGCACCTCGCCCCACTTGCCGCGCCCGGGCATCCACGCCTCGATGTCGTACTTGCGGTGCGCCGAAGCGCCGAGCTCCTGTGTCGGCATGTCGAGGACCCTGCGGAAAGGAGGAGCGTCGGGGCGCAAGGTGGGTCAGTCTCGGGCGCTCGAGAGTGAGCGAGAGAGAGAGAGAGAGAGAGCGAGGGACGCACCGCAACGACAGGCCCAACCCGCTCAGGATCTCCTCCTGAATCGCGCGCAGCTCCTCGAGGAGCGCATCGCTGTCGTCCTCGGCGCACACGACGACCATCTCGACCTTGGAAAACTGGTGCACGCGGTACAGGCCGCGGCTGTCGGCGCCGCGCGCGCCGGCCTCGGCGCGGAACGCGCGCCCGAGCGCGACGTGCTTGAGCGGGAGGTCGGCGGCGCGGAACGTCTGCGCGGCCGACATGGCGACGAGCGGGACCTCGGCCGTGCCGGCGAGGCACAGGGTCGACGACGAGGACGAGGACGACGAGGGCGATGCGGCGCCGGTGTCGCCGTCCGAGAGGAAGTAGGTCTGCTGGGCGTCGCCGTCGCGAGGTCGGAAGCCGCAGCGCTCGGCGACGTCCGAGCGCACGACGTCGGGCGTCAGGGCGGGCGTAAAGCCGTGCTTGAGCGCGACCGACATGGCGTAGTTGGTGAGGGCGAGTTCGACGAGGGCGGCCTCGTTGAGGAGGAGCGGCCACGACGAGCCCGTCGTGAGCGACGACGACGCAAAGTCGGTCCACGCGAGGTTGGCCGGCGACGACAGGGCGAGGTGGTCCCGCTCGGGCTCGGTCGCGGCTGGCGACGACGGCAAGGGCGGGCCGAGCGTCTTGACGAGGCGGGCGCGGGTCTCGTCGCCGACGGGCACGTCCGGGTGCGACGTGTTGGGCAGCTGGAGCGCGAGGTGCTGGACGGCCTTGGTGAGGGCCGACAGGCGCGGCTCGAGGTCCTTGACGAGCTTCTTGACCTCGCCGGCCTCGCGGCGGCGCGCGTCCGGGTCGCCGCCCGTGGGTGCGCTCGAGACGGCGTTGCGGCGCTCTCTCGCGCGCTGGAGGTCCTTTCCGAGGCGGGCGGCGTCGAGGTGCATGGCGCGCAGGTGGTCGACCTGGTCGGCGGGGAAGGGAAAGTTGCGGTCGCGCAGGTTGCGCTTGACGGCGTCGGGTGCGTTGACGACATGGGCGAGGTCGACGACTGGGGCGGGGATGGACGACTGGCGGGCCGAGGCGGCTTTGGTCGACGCGAGGCGAGATGAGGATGAGGAGGACGGCGACCAGGCGGTGCCCGAGCAGAGCGGGCAGGGCCGCTTGAGCGAGCGCACGGTGCGTGCGAGCATCTGTGGCGAGTAGAGCGTGCTCGCTGCTCTGACCTGACGCTACAGTGAAAGCGAGAGCGAGCTCCGTCCTCCCTCTTGTCGACCAACCTCGACCTCGTCACGGCCTCGATCAGCATGTCCGAGCCAGGTGAGCACCTCGTCACTCGCGATGAGAGCTCTACTGACCCTTGCGCTCGACAGACTCGTCCAACCTGCGCGACGTCGGTGCTCTCGCCTCGTGGGCCGTCTCGTCGGCCAAGCCGGGCTACGGCGTCGAGCACATGCGCGATCCAGACACGGCCACCCTCTGGCAGTGTGTCCCTGTGCTCCCTCTCTCTTGCGGGCGCACGCACTCACTCACCGTCCCTCCCGCAGGAGCGAGGGCGCGCAGCCTCACCTCGTCAACATCCAGTTCCCCAAGAAGCAGGCCATCTCTGTGCGTGCTTCTCTCTCTCGCGGTCCAGTCTAGGCCACTCGCAACGAGCTCACACGAACGCACGCCCACCCCCGCAGCAAGTGTGGGTCTACGCCGACATCGGCCAGGACGACTCGTACACCCCCCACAAGCTCTCGATCCGCGCCGGGACCTACCACGGCGACCTGCACGAGGTGCGCTGGGTCGAGCTCGGCCAGCCCAAAGGGTGGCAGGTCGTGCGCCTCAGCGCGTCGGTCCGCCCGGGCGAGGAACCCTCGGACCTTAAGGAGTGCGTCTTGTCCCTCCTGCCCTCTCGCGAGCGCGCACTGACCCCCCCCCCCCCCTCGCGCACCGCAGCGACCCGGTGCGCGCCCACCTGCTCCAGATCGCCATCATCTCGAACCACATGAACGGCAAGGACACGCACGTGCGCGGCATCCGCGTCTTTGCCCCGAGGCCGTGCGTCCCTCCCCCTCTCTCTCTCTCTCTCTCGCGCGAGTGCCGCCGGCTCACTCTCTCTCTCTCTCGGGCGACCCGCAGACTCGACCTCGACGACGACGTCATGCCGTTCCGCACAGTCGCGTTCACGCAGCACGAGACGATCCGCTGAGCGAGCGAGCGGCCACCCGACCTCGACCTCGCGCCGCACGAGCGCCCGTCACGCCTGGGCGCCGCCCTGTCGCCTCACCACTGCGCACCAGCGACATGTCGTCGCTCTCAAGACGCACAGGACGTCGCGAGCCTGTACTCGAGCAGGGCGGCGGGCGAGCGAGAGCGAGAGACGGACCGGCGAGGAGGAGCCCACGCGCGAGGGCTGCAGGCTGTCTTGCCTTCTCTTTTGTGTAGCTGTTCGTGCATGACACGCGAGTCGTCTGGATAGCTTTCGCGAGCCTGCTCTGGGTGAGCGAGCCGCCCTCTCTCCGTCACGAGCCCGAGCCCGTCTCGCTCACGCCCCTTCCTCTCTCCCTCCTCCCCTCGTCTCGCCCAGCTCGCCCCGCCAACCAAGCTGCCCCTCCTCTCAGCCCTCCTCGACCGCCTGCGCCGCGCACCCATGCCCCCCGACCCGCCGCCCGCCGCCTCGCACGCCCCCTCCCCCTCCACCACCGCCGCCACCGCTCCTCCTCCCGCACCCGCCTCGCACCCGTCGCAGCCGCCGCACACCTGGGCCGAGCAGGCCCTCCCGCCCGCGCCTGACCCGGCCGCGCAGTTCAAGTTTGGGCCGGCCCCCCCGAGGGCGAGGGCGGCGTCGGGTGGAGCGGGAGGAGGAGGAGGCGGGCCGGGCGCAGGTGCCGCAGCGAGTGGGGCTCGCTCGGCCTTCTTCAAGGTGCCGGGGCTCGGTGGTCGGCGCGGGGTGCAGGGGGCCGCGCAGGGCCGCGCGAGGCGCGAGGCGCGCGAGGAGCTCGGGAGCGAGGACGACGACGACGACGCCGACGACGACGCCATCGTCCTCGCGCAGCGCTCGCCGACCAAGGCGAGCAGCTCGGCCACGTCCCTGCCGACGCCGCCGACGACGACGACGACGCGCGACCACCTCCCGCCCTCGCTCGCCGCCATGCGCCTCCCCGTCCAGCCCGGCGCGCCGCACAGGTCGAGCGTGTCGGCCACGATCGAGGCGCCTGACCCGGGGCCCCCTACCACGACCACGACCTCGGCGTCGAGCCGCTTCGGCAGCAGCGGCGGCGGGCCCCAGCAGCACGGCACGTCGTCGGCGTCGACGAGGCCGCCGGCGCGCGCGCACGACCCGCCGCCGCACCTCGCGCTCCAGCGCCCGCCCGTCCCGGCGCCAGCCCCGGCTCCGGCTCCGGCGCCGAGCAAGAAGCGCGCGCACCCGCACCCGCAGCCGCACTCGCCGGCGCCGCGCGCGCAGCAGCAGCCGGCGGCGGCGGCGGCGGGCGCATCGTCGTCGTCGGGCTCGGGCCGGGCGCTCGTGCTCGCCGGCGCTGGCGGGAGCCGCTCGGCGTCGGCGTCGGCGGCGGCGGGCAAGGCGGGCGAGACGGCGGGCGCGGCGGGCCCGGCCGCCGCCGCCGCCGACGAGGGCCACGAGCTCAAGCGGCGCAGGACGGGCGAGACCAAGTCGCGCACCAAGTCGGCCATGCTCACCCTCATCGACCTCGACGACAAGGTCGTCCAGAAGGTGCGCCCACACCTCTCTCTCTCTCTCTCTCTCTCTTCCGGTCCCTTGGTCTCGAGGAGCGCGCACTGACCTCCCACGACCTCGCAGGACGCCGAGCTCGCCGTCGCGCGCGCCGAGCTCGCGAGCCTGCGCGACGGCCTCGCGCGCCGCGACGCCGAGCTCGCCCAGGTCGTCGAGGCCAAGCGCGCGCTCAAGGAGGACTTTGCCGCCCGCATCAGGGAGGCGCTCGAGAGGTGCGTCGCGCCGGTCCCTTTCCTTCCTCCCTGCCCCTCGCGACCTTCTCAAACCGACTCGACGATCGGTTTCTCTTTGTTTGCAGCGCGGCCGAGGCGCAGAAGGAGCTCGAGGACGTCAAGGACGGCATGCACGAGTCGTTCGTCGAGCTCAAAGAGTCGCTCGGCTCGGTCGTGTCGGCGGTCGAGATGCGCGAGGAGCTCAAGGACGTCAAGGAGGGTGCGTCTGCCTCCTTCCTCTCCTCTCGTCCCTCGTCCTCGTCCTCGTCGTGTACTGACGTGCCTCGTCGTCTCGCAGCCGTGAGCGCGCACTGCCTCGACGAGAAGAACGAGCTGTGGCTCGAGCGCGTCGAGGAGACCAAGCTCGCCGTCCTCAAGGAGCTCCAGGCCGAGCTGTCGAACCGTGCGTCCCTCTTTCCCCTCTCTCGAGACGGTTCAGAAGGCACGCACTGACAGCGCTGCCCCGACAGGCGGCGACGTCATCAAGCTCCTGCGCGACGACCTCGAGGTCAAGGCTGGGTCGCTCGCCGAGGCGCGCTCGCGCGTCCAGCAGCTCGAGACGACGCTCGACGACGCGCAGCGCGCGTCGACCGCGCGCGAGACGGCCGCCACGAAGCGCGAGGCGCACGTGCTCGCGCTCCTCGAGGCGGCGCGGGTCGACCGCGCGCGGCACCGCGACGAGCTCGACAGGCTGCTCGTCGGCGCGGCGGACAAGCAGGAGGCGCTCACGGCCAAGGTTGGCGAGGGGCTCGAGAGGGAGAAGAAGCTGAGGGACGAGTGGATCAGGGCCAAGGAGGAGGTGGGCCGGCGCGACGAGGAGGTCAAGCGCGTGGCGAAGCGGTGCGTCCCTTCTCCTCCTTCCTCTCTCCTCGAGGCACCTTCTGACGCTCACCTCGTCGTGTACGCAGCGTCAACGAGCTCGAGAAGAAGCACGCCGACGACGCTCACGCCCTCGAGCAGCTCAGCGCCGACCTCTCGACCGCCCGCGACGAGCTCAACGCCGAGATCCAGCAGTGCGTCCCTCTCTCCCTCGAGCGCGCTCTCTCCCCTCGTTCACCCTAATCCTATGGCACCCTGCAGGTCGGCCGACCGGCTCAAGAAGGCGCACGACGACGTCGAGCGCGAGAGGGCCGAGCACGTCAAGCGCGTCGACGAGGTCAAGGCGCCGCTCAACGCCGAGCTCGTCAAGACGCAGTGCGTCCTCGCCTCTCTCCCTCGAATCTATGTCGTACGGCCCTGACACGCCTGAATTTGCAGGTCTGCGCTCGCCGAGGCCGTCAGCGCTCGCGAGAAGGTCGAGGTGCGCCCCCCCTTTCCCTCTTGGCGCCGGCCGGCCGGCCATTGACCTGACCTTCATCGCCTCGCAGCGCAAGCTTCGCGAGCAGGTCGAGGAGGTGTCGTCCGTCAAGTCGCAGGCCGAGCATCTCGAGCGCGAGAAGGAGGTCGCCGTCGCCAGCAAGCGCGAGGCCGAGGACTCGGTGCGTCCGCCTTTCCCCTTCCTCGGCCCGTCCGCGCACGTGCTCGCCGCCTGACACGGTCGACTTTTCACAGCTGCGCGCCCTGTCCGACAGCCACGACCGCCTCGAGTCGGACCACGCCGCCTCGCTCGAGCTCGTCGACCAGCTCGAGCACGAGGTCGCCGCCCTGCGCGAGAGCGAGGCGCAGGCCGAGGCGAGCTTTGCCGCGCGCGAGAAGGAGCTCGTCGAGGGCGCGGCCAAGGAGAAGCAGCAGGCGGCGGCGGCGGCGCTGCAGCAGGGGAGGGAGCTCAGCCAGACCGAGCTGATCAACAAGGGCGTGCGTCGCCTCGCCTCTCTCTCTCTCCCTCTTGCGGCCCGTTCCCGTTCCCCATACGGTACTGACGAGCCGAATGTGCCGCAGAACGAGCTCAAGCGCACGCACAACAAGCTCGAGGAGCTCACCAAGAAGCACAACCGCGCCCTGACGAGCTCGCCGTCGCCAAGTGTGTCTCGCTCGTTCTCCCAGTTTCCAAGTCTGTCCCAGGGACTCACGGCTGTCGTGCGTGCAGGTCGAGGCCCGTCCTGAACGCGCACATCGCCTCGTCGTCGACGAATGGCGACCCCTCTCCTCCCGTGCGTCCTCGGTCCCCTTCTCTCCCTCCTCTCGAGCCTGCCGCTCACGCCCGTGCACCCGCAGGGCGCCAACACGACGACCGCCGAGAACGGCGCCCGCATCACGACCGCCGCGACGTCGTCGCCCCTCTCTGCGCTCGGCTCGGACGGCTCGCCGGGCGCGACGTCGACCAAGCCCAAGAAGAAGCCCAAGGCGGTCACCTGTGCGTCGCCATCTTCCTCTCTTTCTTCCTTCCTCTGCTTCGAGCGCAGCGACCGACGATCCCTGTCATCCAGTCGTCACCCCTGCCGCTCGCTCCGCCCCGACCGTCCCCGTCAAGCCCAAGCGCCGCACGTCGGGCACCACCACCACCGCAGCCAGCGCCGTGCCCGCCAAGCCGCACAAGTCGCTCGTCACCGCCGCCGCCACGTCGACCAAGCGCTCGCGCGCGCCGCCCCTGTTCGACGACCACGCCGACCCGGACGAGACGCTCGTGCACGACGTCGACGAGGCCGAGACGATGGACCAGGACGACGAGGCGGCGGCGGGCGAGGAGAGTCTCGAGACGATGCTCGTGCAGGACGACGGCGAGGGCGGTGGGCGGAGCGGTGCTGAGGAGGACGACGACGACATCGTCGACTTCAACACGCCCATGGCCGCCCGCCGGCCAGAAGCCCAAGGTGCGCCCCTCGCTCTCTCTCTTTCTCCTCAAGTGCGAGCCCTCTCACTGACTCGCTTGCGACCACGCCCGCAGCTGCGCCAGACGTACGCGAGCAAGAAGAGGCGCTGAGCGGGCGGGAGGAGGGAGGAGGCTCGTGCGAGGGGAGAAGAGGACGCTTTGTATCGGTCTCGCTTGCGCGCAATGCACCGCTTTATCTCTACTGGTGCTCTCTGTGCGACTGCGGATGCGAGAGAGCGGCCAGGGACTCGAGAAAGGTGAGACGATTTGAGCGCACGCGCCTTCTCGAGCTCGCCGGGGTCCGTCTCTCGCTCCTCTCGCTCTTTCTCCTCCCATCTCGCGCTCGCTGCCCCGCCGAGCAGACTCCACAGCGCACAATGAGCAGCACACACACCCCTCAGCAGCCCTGCCCCTTCGACCGCCTCCCCAACGAGCTCCTCGCCAAAATCCTCCACCACCTCGACGCCGCCGTCACGCAGACCGAGCCGCGGCAGCGACGGCAGCGCCGAGTGACCTTCCTGAACGTCGCACTCTTGTCGAGGCGCTTCAAGGCGCTCGCCGCCAACTTCCAGTATCGCTACCTCGCGGTGTCGGCGAGCAGCGAGCTGGCCACCCTGCAGCGCGTCGGCAGGGACGGCCTGTCTGTCCCGGCGCGGGCGTGCCGCGTGTTTCGACTGAGCGATGGGGACGAGCGTCAAGGCCGCTGTGTGCTGCGTGTGGATCACTGGGCGAGCCGGCTGCCGGCGGTCGAGGAGATGTCGCTTTGGGGCATCTCGTACGGATGCTTGTCGCAGGCTGCGGCGTTCACCAGTCCGTCTACCTTTATCTCGCCTGGATGTGAAGCGTAAGCCTGACAGGTACCCTGTGCGCAGACCTGCGTCGCCTCGAGCTGCACCGGTGCACCTTCGGCTCGTGGTCGACAATCTCGACAGCGTCCTTCTCTCGCCTCTCCACCCTCGAGCTGCACAATGTCACCTTCCGCTACGCCCTCTCGATCGATGGGACCACGATGTGCACGACGTTCCCGAGCCTCCGGCAGGTCGCCGTCCAGTCGTGCGAGCTTCAAGACCTTCGCCGCCGGCCTCTCCTGCCCGTCGCGTTCGTCGCCCAGCTCGACGCACTCGGCGTCGACCTGGGGGAGATTCATCTTCCGACAAGCGGCATCCTGCCCCTCGACGACCTCGACACCCGCCACGCCGTTCTTTGGCGCTGCGACGTCGCCATCTCGGACTCGACGACCGTCTTGGACCTGTGCGTCACGCGCAACGTCGTCCACGTCTTCATCAAGCTCGACTCGGGTGCCGAGACCAACCTCGAGTCGCAATCAACCCGCGGCCACGACCGGTTTCGCCTCTTCATCCAGCTCTACAACCTCGTCGACCACCTGCCGCATTTGCGCCTCCTCCTCGTGCCGCCCTCCCTGTGGAACCACGTCGAGCGTCTCCATCCGTACATCATGCAGTGCCTGGGCAACTTCAAGAACGTGTGCCAGCGTCGCGGTATCGCCGTCAGGACGTACGACGCCGCGCGCCCGCTCGACGGGCTCGTCGTGCCCGAGTTTTCGAGTGGCGGCGCGAGCAGGCGCAGGCGGCGAGCGGTACGGCGCAGGGCTGAGAGAGGACGGGCGAGCAGGGGAATCGAGCGGAGGAGCGTGTAACGCAGGCTTGTTTGTGCCCGACGAGCCTTGTCCGAGAGAGCGAGAGCGAGAGCAACGTCGAGGGCAGCGCCTCTCTGGCTCGAGAGCTGAGCGGCGAGCGGGAGCGCGTCTCGACGGCGTCAACGAGAGGACTCGAGGTGAGGCTCGAGAGCGTCGAGAGCGTCGAGAGCGTCGGGGTCGAGCGAGAGAAAGGCGGCGAGAGGAGGGTCCGAGCGGCAGCGGTGAAGCTCGAGCGCGTCTGGCTGAGCGAGTCGAGCCGAGCGCTCGGGCTGCGCGACGTGCAGGGCCCGCCAGAAGGGGAGCGCGACTCTGCAGGTCGGGCAAACAGTCAGTCTCTCGAGTTGGCGAGGGAAGGAAGAGGGAATGAGAGGGAGAAAGGGAGGGACGGACCAGGGTCTGGATCATCGCCTCGCTTTGGACGGTGTTGGCGGGCACGCGGGCCGTAGGAGAGTGCGATAGGATCGCGAAGAGGAAGTGGAAGTGGAGGACGTTGCCGAGGGAGGGGGTTGGGGAGCCGACGAGCTGGGGAGGGCGGACGAATTCGCGCGCAGCGGTCTCGCAGAGGTGCTCGCTTGTCGTCTGCGTCTGGCCTAGGCGACTCGGCGCGAGACCGGCGCTCGAACCAGCTCGCCGTGCGGGTCGGCGGGGCGAGGATGGAGAACACGCGCTTGACGGGCCTCGTTCGGGTCGAGGGTGTGTGCAGGGGTGCTTGAAGTCAGTCCAGCTAGAGAACAGCCCAGCAGGTGGGCAGCGAGGAGCTCGAGGACGAGCAGAAACCTCATCGCCTGGGCCGTCGACGTGGGCTCTCTTGTTCGTCGAACACCGCGTGCCGCTCCTTGCGGGCTTGCAGAGCCAGCGCAGAGCTCTGCATCAGCTCTACCGACCGTCAACGCCGGTCATGGGCCCGTCCTCGCAGCCGTCGGCGCTGTCGCCTCCCCCTGCCGCCGACCCGGCCCCGACCTCGTCGTCACTCGTCTCAATAGGCCCGCTAGGCAGCAGCGGCGAGCCCGAGAGCGCAAAGCACATCCTCGAGCCGTGCCACATCGACCGCCTCCCGACCGAGGTCCTCGTCAGCATCCTGTCGCACCTCCCACCGCCGACCATCCGTCTCACCAACCCGCCTCGCGTCGACAACGCCCCCCTCACCATCAGCCTCGTCTCGAGGCGGTTCCACGCTGTCGGCCGCGACTACCTGTGGCGAGGGTGCGCCGTCGTCGCCGAGGTCACCTCAACGAGCCACGCTCGCGCCGCCGCCGTGCTCCGCAACGTGCCGTGCCTCACGCACGACTGCCGCGAGCTCGAGCTGTTGCTCGATACCGACCACGACGCCGACTGGACCGGTTCGTGGGCGACATTGTTTCCCAGCATCCAGCGCTTGACCCTGGAAGACGTTCCCCGGTTCGACCTCGCCGAGGCGGCCCAGTTTCGAGGTGCGCCTCGCTCTCTCTCATGCTTGTCGCCATAGAGACCGGTACTGACACTTCATTGTCAGGATTGCGCCACCTGTCGATCAGCAACGTCATGGTCGTTCTCAAGACCGACATCGTCTTTCCTCGGCTCGAGTCGTTGCATCTCGACATGGACCTCCTGGTGCCTCGCCAGCCCTTCTTCAACAAGAGATCATTTCCTGCCCTACGTCGTATCCTCGTCGCGCACAGCAACATCGAGCCCCTCATCGCGCAGAACGAGGTCGTCTTCCCGATCGACTTTCTCGCCCAGCTCGACTACGTCGAGGTCGCCGGATACGGCGATGATACCGCCTACTACGCCCGGCTCTTGCCTGTCGAGCAGCTCGTGTGCCGGACGCCAATCCTGTGGCGCCTCGACCTGATTGTGGACCGTGCGCGCGGCGCGGGCTTTCTCGCATTGGCGAGGTCGTCCTTCCTGCACGCCCACTTTCTCATCCTCGACCCGATCCGCACGTACTTCGACAAGACGGACAAGCTGGCCTGGACCGAGCGAGTGCTCGTCGAGATGCGCATTGTCCTCGCGCCGCCCTCGCACCCGCACCTGCGCCTCGTCCTCGTCCCCGCCTACCTGTGGCACCCGTCGCCGCACAACACGACGGCCGCCAACGAGGCGGCGAGGCGCGCCGTCGAGGACGTCTGCGCACGGCGCGGCGTCGTGCTGAGGACGTACGCGGCGCGGCGGACCGAAAACGCCGGCGCCGTGCCCGAGTTTTTGGCGTTCCTGCGCGAGGAGGCGGCGAGGGGCGAGGAGCGGTCGTAGAGGCGGACGAGGGGCTCGGTGGGAGGGTCATGAGCGAGGTGGAATGCAGCTTGTGCGGCAGTCGATGTCGAGCGTGGGCTGCGAGAGCTCGAGAGCGGGAGAGGAAAGTCGACGCTCGAGCCTCGTCTTTGGCCTCGCTGTCGCCTCTCGTCTCGAGGCTCGCGCAGCTTCTCTCTAGCTGCTCGCGCTCTCGCCGTACCTTGCTCGTCGCTTCCAAGCTCTCGAGCCCGAGTGAATGCCGCTCGCGCCTCGTCGCCGGGCCGGCTGGCCCGCTCATTCACCTTTTCTCCTCGTCCCTCGCTCTCGCTCTCACCTCAGCTCGTCGTCTCGACTCGACAGCGCGCCATGAGCAGCACACACGACCCTCAGCAGCCGTCGCCGTTCGACCGCCTCCCCGACGAGCTCCTCGTCAAGATCCTCCGCCACCTCCCTCAGCACGAGCTCTCGGCGCACAGTCACATCGAGGGCGAGCATGGCTCCATGGGCGAGGTCCGCCTCGTCTCGCGACGCTTCAACGCAGTCGGCCGTGACCTGGCCTGGCGCGGCTTCAAGCTCTCTGCCGCACCGAGCAAGCGCGACTTGGCTCGTGCACTCGAGGTGCTTGGCTTCCTGCCGGCAGGCCAGCCGGTGAGCTGTTCGGAGTTGGAGCTTACGGGCACGCCGCGTGAGGGCGGGCTGGCCCTTGCGCGGTGGGCGGCCGAGTTCCCGGACGTCGAGGGCCTCAGCGTGCAGAGCTGCGGCATCCACGACCTCGAGAACGCGACCAGCTTCAGCAGTGCGTCCACTCCTCTCTCGAGCTCAGGACGTAGCCGATCCTGACGCTGCATCCCCCTGCAGAGCTGCGCTTCCTCTCTCTCGGCGACATGGACCTCAACCTCCCGCCGTCGGCCTTCTTCCCCGGCGTCGAGTCGATGGACTTGTACTGCGCAACTTTCGGTTGGCCGCTCCGGCCTATCACGACATCTGCGTTCCCGGCGCTGCGGCGCCTCGGCGTCGACTTCTGCCGCGTCCAGGGTGCCGACTCGGACGTCCTGCCGCCCAACTTGGTCGCCCAGCTCGAGTACATCCAGCTCGAGGACTTGTCGCGTGATGGGCCCGCATGGTATCGTCCTCTCGGTGTCGAGATCGCCCGGCAGGAGGTGCGCATCCTCTGGACCGTGTCTCTGGTCGAGAGGGTGTCGTTCAACCGCATCGTCGTCAAGTCCGGGCCCATGCCGTCCGCCGCCGTCGGGCGCTACCTTCGCCTCGAGCCGCCAGACATGGTCGCACCGTCTTCTTCGACCGCACTCGACGCCGCCCTCGGCCTCATCGCCAAGCACGCCCACCTGCGCGCCGTCTTCCTCCCGTCGTCCATGTGGCAGCGGGCGCCGTCGGCCGACCCGGACGAGGCCGCGAGCCGTCAGGCCATCATCGACCACTGCGCGAGCGTCGGCGTCGACCTGAGGACGTACAACTCGTCGCGCTGGTCGCGCAACCATGCCCCCCGAGTTCTCGATGTACCTGCGCGAGGAGGCGGCGAGGGCGCAGTCGGCGGCGGTCAGGGCGAGGGACTGAGCGAGGACGGGGTCGAGGAGCTGTCGAGACTCTCTGGGCAACTCGAGGACTGCTTGCGACAGCTCTCGGTCACTGTGCGGGCGAGCGAGAGTCGAAAGTGCAACTTGAGAAGGTCGAGCACGAGCGAGCCAGCGCTCAGGCCTCGTCATTGCTCAGCACCGGTTCTCTCTTTCTCTCGCTCGCAAAGACCTGATGATGATGATGAAAGAGAGACCTGCTCGTTGCCGCTGCGCAGCTCTACAGGAGCCTCGGCGACGCGCCCGATTCCTCCAGGTTCACCGTATCCCGCCCACCTCGTCTCGCCGTCCTCGCCGCCACCGTTGCACCCACGTCATCCTTAAGGGGCTCGTCGGGCGGCCGGGTCCTCGACGATCCAGTCGGCGCACTTGCGGGCGAGCGAGATGGTGCGGGCTGCGAGACAGGAGAGAGAGTCAGCGACTCGACCGTAGCCGCACAGCTGCGCCCGGCGACACCGAGTCGCTCGAGCACAGCAAGGTCGGGAGGGATAGACGCCGACTCACCTGAGTCGAGAATCGAGCGCGGGCAGCGGCCCTGGCAGCAGCTCTGCCTCCTCGCGCGCCCCTCCTCGCCTCGCCCGCTCGAGCACCTCGCCCACCTCGCCGACCGCCTCGCCTCCTTGGTGACCCATCCACATCCTGGCCCGGCCGCTCGGTCCCTCCCCTCCTGCCTGCGAGCCCTCGAGCGCCGCCGCGCCGCCACCTCGCGCACGCGCTCGAGGACCTCGCGCGCCGTCGCGAGCGGGGCCGACGACGCTCTCCTTGCGGCCGCCGACGAGCGCGGCGGGTCGTGGCCTGGGCGCCGGGGCCCGCTCGGTGCCGTCTTGAGGCGGCGAGGAGGCGAGGGCGGGCGAGCGAGGGGGCGAGAGGTCGAGAGGTACCTGCGAGAGGGGGAAGAGTCAGTTGACGGGTAGTGGGAAGGAGACGGCGAGGAAAGGGGCGCACCTCGCTCAGTACTCGTCCTCGGACAGCGCCGCACCCTCGCCCTCGCCCTCCGACGACGCCGCCGACGACGACGAGCGCTTCCTCGTGCGCACGTTGTCCGGCATGGGCGCGACGTAGTAGGCGCCCTCGGTGCGGCTCGCGAGCTTGAGGAGCGCCTGGCCTCGCGCGTCGGGCCGCGACTCGCCGGCGGTGCCCTGCTCGACCGCCGCGGTGGACGAAGAGGAGGACCAGTCGACCGGTCGCGGCTGAGCGCGCACCCTCGCGTCGACCATCTCGCCCGGTCGGAGCCCGAGCGCGTTCGTGTCGACGTCGCGCACGGCCTGGACGATGGCGACGAGGTCGTCGAGGTCAGCGAGGGCGGCCCAGCCGTGGTCGTCGTCCGGCGCGGGCGGCTCGAGGGCGGCGAGGCGGTGCAGCTTGACGAGGGTCGCGCGGTCGAGCGAGGGAGACTGGCCGGGAGCGGGCAGGTAGTCGGAGAGGGAGTAAGGGGACGAGAGCGGGATGCACAGGTCGTCGGTCGGGACGGGCGCGGGGCGAGGGCCGAGAGGTCGAGGAGAGGGGGGAGCGGCCGTGGCCGAGTGGGTGGCGCGGGTGCTGAGGAGGGCCCAGAGACGGACGATGCGGGCTGTGCGGAGCATGTGCGTGCTCGGCGAGTCTCGCGCTGGAGGCAGACAGGCGGGCTGAGCGAGAGAGAGAGGGTCCACCGACGTCGTCGCTCCTCGTCTCGCTCCACTCGCACCCGGCGTCTCTGCGGGCCAGACGCGCACCTCCAGTACAGCACCGCACAGCAGCACTCTCCGCCACCCGCCGAATCGAACCGCCTCAGCACCCCCCTCTCTCCTCGCGCACCTCCCCACTCCCTCATCTCGCCCTCGTCAATGTCGCGCCCCGTCGTCGGCACCGGCCTCGCGAGCTGCTGCGCCGTCCTGAGCGTGTTCGGCGCCTGTATCCTCGGCACCCTCGGCTTCTTCTTCGAGGCCAATGTGAGCCCGCTCCCCCTCCTCCCTCTGACGACGACCGACGACGGAGACTGATGAGCCCTTCCTGCGACAGGTCGAGGTCCTCATGGGCAACAAGGAGTCGCCAAGGGACGGTCACGCCGTTGCCCTCAACTGCTGGTTCGCGTGCGTCCACCTCTCTCCTCCCTCCCCCCTCTCGCATCGAGCCCGCACTGACACGGCTCCACCCGCACACAGCTCCCTGGTCTACATCGCCTTTGTCGTCTTTTGCACCTGCCAAGTGCGGTCACCTCTCTCTCTCTCTCTCCACCCTCGTCGCCCGCACGCCGAGGCAAAGACCTGACACGCTCCCACTCGCCCTCGCGCAGGTCGGCGTCAACCGGCGGTACGCTCGCGGCTCGGTGCGACTCTGAGGAGGACGAGGCGGACCGAGGCGGGAGCGCCCGCAGAGCCTCTCGTGCACCCGCTGTTCATGTTGTAACCCATGCCGTGCTCGCACTCGTCTCGCGCGAGAGGCTCGAACTCGTCGCTCTGCCTCTCGCTCCCCGCTCGCCCTCAACGCTCAGCTGCTCTCAAGCACTCTCGAGCCTCTCTCTCGCTCTCGCCGGCGACGCACAGCACACCCTCAAGCGTTCCCTTGCTCGCCATGCTACATCCTCCCAACCTCCTCCTGCTCCTTCTCCTCGCGCCAGAACTGCACCGCCTCCCTCGGCACGAACCCCTCGCGCTCCCGCTGCGGATCGTACGGCCTCAGGGCGAGCCCGCGCGCGGCGCACTCGGCGACGAGCGGCGCCAGCTCTGAGCCCGGCCCGTCGCCGGCGCCGTGCTCGAGCTGCCACAGCGAGAGGGGGACGAGGGCGAGGCGGAGGTACGGGTGTGCGGCGACGAGGGCGCGCAGGGACGCGACGGGGTCGAACTCGGCGTCGTCCTCCTCGAACGTCGAGAGGCGCGGCAGGGTCACGCACAGGAAGGCGAGGTGGACGCCCGGCGGCGGCCGACGTGCGGCGGGACGAGTCGTCGCCCGGCCCGGTGCAAGCGCGGCGTGCCACAGGACGGGCGCGTCGGGCGTGAGCGCCTCGAGGGGGAGGACGTCGGCGCACAGGCTCGACGCGTGCGAGAGCTCGAGGTGGACCTGGTCGAGCTGCTCGACGAGGCTCGGCGAGAAGACGGGCGCGTCGCCGTCGTCGCCGCTCCGAGAGGGACGCTCGACGTAGATGAAGCCGAGGCGGAGCTGGCGCAGAGAGGGGAGGGTCGAGGTGTCAAAGAAGGAGGAGGACTGGAAGGGGACGAGGCGGATCAACACGTCGGCGAGGCTCATGCGCGCGAGGTGGGCGAACGTGACGTGGGTCGGCGAGGGACGGAGCTCGGAGTAGTCGACGGCGAGACTGCGCTGTTCTGCGGGCGTTCGGGTCAGTTTCATCCGGCGAGGATGGAGAGAACGAAAGAGAGCGAGACGACGCACTGCGAAAGCGCGCGACGACGTCGAGCGACATGGGCATCGTCTGGTACAGCTCGACGTCCTCGACGTCGGGCAAGAGCCGTTCCCCCTCGGCGACACACGGCAGCAAGAAGGCCCAGTCGAACGACTCGAGCCGCAACTTGCGGCACCCGAGCGCCCGCTCGCGGTACGCCCGCAGCTGCGCCACGACCCTGCTCGTCTCGCCGCGCGCGCCCGGCCCAATGTCCATCTCGAGGCGGTCCCACAGGATCGGCGCGCAGACGGCGCCGAGGCGCTTCGAGGTGCGCTGCACGGCGAAGAGCGGGTTGCGCTGCGAAGGGGCTGAGCCGTTGCCGAGCGAGATGTGCGGCGGCGGGAGGTGCGCGAGGATGGCGAGGATGAGCTCCGAGGGGAGGGTGTCGAGGCCGGGCGGGAGCTGACAGGTCTGCTGCATGGCGAGCGAGAGAGGACGGGGGAGGTTGGCTGAGGAGGAGAGGGGGGAGTGGGTCGCAGGACGGGCCGTCAGGCTGGAGCCGCGAGGGCAGAGCTGCAGAAGGAACAAAGCGACTCACCCGGGTCAAGCGAAAGAAGAGAGCTCGACGAGTGAGCGAGCGAGAGCGAGAGAGGGAACAAGGACGAACTCTCGAGGTCAAAGAGCCGTTATCCGACAGCGGACGCTCGCTCTCCTCTCTCGCGAGAGCTCTCACGCGAGCAACAGAGAAGCAGAAGGAGCACGTTGCACTCGCTCGTGCGCGCTACTCGACGCCCGACCGTCTCGCCTCGCCGTCGCCGCCGACCCTCGGCGCCCGCTCGAGCCGCGCCCGCTCGTACGTCTCGAGCACGATCCCGCGCCGCTCGCACAGCTGCGAGATGTGGTCTTTGATCCAGGCGGTTCGGGAGCTGGACGCGCTCGCCGGCGCCGAGCGCCACAGCACGGCGGGCATGGCGACGGCCCGAGCGCTCGCCGTTCCCTCGAGGACCTCGGCGACGTCGCGCAGGAGCCGACGGCGGTGCTTGGTCTTGTCGAGCTTCTCGTCATGCCGTACCGTGACGACGAGGTGCTCGACAGGCAGAACGTCGTGCCGGAAGGGGAGCGTCGTCGAAGGGCTCGAGCTCCCGACGTCGACGCGCCAGGCGACGCGAGGCCCGGTCGACCGGTCGAACGACGGGACGTGCGCCGTCGTGATGAGCTCGTGGTCGACGGCGTCGAGGAGGAGCTCGTCGAGCTGGGCGAGGAGGTCGGGCGAGAGGTACGGGATGTGCGGCGAGGGCGAGTTTAGGGGGTGCTCCTCGTGAGGGGTGCAGGTGAGGAGGGCGAGGTGGCGGAGCGCGGGGAAGTGCGTCGTGTCGAGGAGGTTACGGCCGAGTGGGTGGTAAAGATCGAGCCGAACTCGGCGAAAGCTGAGCGTCGTGAGATGGGAGAACGAGGACGACGCGTTGAGAATGGGTTGGACGTGCTCGAGGAGGAGGGTGCGGAGGTCTGTCAGGGGGGCTTCGTCAGTGATTTGGGCTCAGTCGGGCCGTGCGAGCGAGACGAAGACAAGACGCACTGCTGCAGAGGACGAGAAAATTGAGGTACTCCGTGACGCGACCGTCGAGCTTCACTTCCTCGGCGTGCGGATACAGCTCGTACAGTTCGTATAGCGGGCTGAACGCGTGTAGCCTCACCGAGCTGACCCACAAGGTCTTAACGAGAGCGCCGTGGTCGCGTCGCTGCCCGGTCCCGCCGCCGTCAAGCTCGACCTGCCGGTACAAGAGCGGATGGACGACGGCGTGCCACAAGCGCGAGACGCGCGACGCTGCGACGAGTGTCGCGAGCCGCACGTCCCTCTCGGCCGGCGAGAGCAGGCCGAACGGCTCGTCGACCTTGGCGAGAATGGCGTCGAGGAGCTCGACGGGGAGCCGGCTGATGGGCGACGCCGGTGCAGCTTCGTCGGCGCTCATGCTGAGGTGCGAGAGAAGCGGAAGCAAGAGCGAGCGGCGCCCGAAGCGGGAGACAAAGGGCGGGTCCGAGAGGTGCGGACGTACGAGCGCGTGCGGCTCGAGCGAGAGTCTCGGGCTGCTGTTCGCGCTGGCCTCGCCGACTCGCCGCCAAGCTGGCGCTTGCTGGCGACAGCGGCCTCGCTTCATGCGTCGACCGTGGGGGGCCTCGGGGTAGAGACGAGCGGGGCACAGAAGCTGACGTCGGGGGCGAGCGGCCGAACGGGCGCAGCACGGCCTGTGGGCATGGGTGCAGGGACGAGCGGTGTGCGAGCCCTGTGCACGCGCTCGTGGACGAACGAGAAGGAGCTGGCCGTCCGGTTCGCGCCGAGGAGAGCCGGTCTCTCGCCTCGCCGCGTCGCCCTCTCCTCCTCGTCACCACCAGCCTCCCAAAAGCGACTGAGGTGCGCCCACAGAGCCACTCGCGTGCTGTGCGAGCCACGAGAACCGCGCTGACTGAAGCCCCCCACCCCTCTCCCCCTCCTCCCTCCCTCCTCCACCCTCATCCGTCGCCTTGACTCCCACCGTCGTCGCCCTCTGTGGCCTGCACGACCTACACAGATGCTCTCCCGCAGCCGCATCGCCGTCCGTCAGCTCCGCACCGCGCCCACCGTCCGCGCCATCTCGGTCTGGTCCAACGTCCCCGCCGGCCCGCCCGACCCAATCCTTGGTGCGCCCGTCGTCCTCCTGCACCGTCTCGAGCCGCGCAAGACTGACCCTGGCCCACCCTCACAGGTATCACCGAGGCGTTCAAGAAGGACTCGAGCCCGCAGAAGATCAACCTGGGCGTCGGCGCCTACCGCGACGCCGACGGCAAGCCCTACGTCCTCCCCTCGGTCCTCGCCGTGCGTCCCGAATCGCTCTCTCTTTCGCGAGCAGGAGAATCTCGGACTGACGGGCTTGCGCGCGCGCAGGCCGAGGACAAGGTCATCAGCGAGCGCAACGACAAGGAGTACCTCCCGATCACAGGCCTCGGCACCTTCACCCAGGCCGCCGCCGTCCTCGCCTACGGTACCGACTCGAAGCCTTTGTCCGAGGGTCGTGTACGTCCTGCGTCTCTCTCTCATCGTCCCGGCACCGTCGCAGCCAGAGCTGACCCGATCGTCGTCCCCCTCGCAGGTCGCCATCACCCAGTCGCTGTCCGGCACGGGTGCGCTCCGGATCGCGGGCGCCTTCCTCGCGCGCCACTACCCTCACGCCAAGGAGATCTACGTCCCGAGCCCGACCTGGGGCAACCACATCCCCATCTTCCGCGACTCGGGCCTCGAGGTCAAGACCTACTCGTACTACGACAAGAAGACGGTCGGCCTCGACTTTGAGGGCCTGAAGAAGGACCTCAAGGTGCGTCGTCGCCCTCTCGAGATGTCTGTCGCTGCGAGCTCGCGACGAGACGGTCCTGACCCTCGCGCTCGTACCCCCTCCGCAGGCCATGCCCGACAAGTCGATCGTGCTCCTCCACGCCTGCGCGCACAACCCGACCGGCATCGACCCGACCGAGGCCCAGTGGCGCGAGATCTCGGACGTCATCAAGTCCAAGGGCCACTTCCCGCTCATCGACAACGCCTACCTCGGGTTCGCGTCGGGCTCGGTCGACAAGGACGCGTTCGCGCTGCGCCACTTTGTCGAGGAGGGCCACCAGCTCATCCTGTGCCAGTCGTTCGCCAAGAACATGGGCCTGTACGGCGAGCGCGTCGGCACGTTCTCGGTCGTGTGCGCCGACAAGGAGGAGAAGGCGCGCGTCGACTCGCAGATCAAGATGTGCGCCCCTCTCTCTCTCTCTCCCTTTCCCTCGACTCTCCCGATCCTGTCCGTCGCAGGATCACGTTACTGACTCTTCGAGCCTTCTTCCTGCGCAGCCTCGTCCGCCCCATGTACTCGAACCCGCCGGTGCACGGCGCTCGCGTCGCGTCGACCCTCCTCACCGACAAGAAGCTCAACGCGCAGTGGCTCGCCGAGGTCAAGGGCATGGCCGACCGCATCATCGACATGCGCTCGACCCTGTTTGACCTCCTGCACGAGCTCGGCAGCAAGAAGAAGTGGGACCACATCAAGAACCAGATCGGCATGTTCGCGTACCTCGTGCGTCCCCTCTCCCCTCTCGTACTCCCGGTCTCACGAGCATGAGCGCAGCCACTGACGACGCTCTCGCCGCACCGCCGACAGGGCATCTCGCCGGAGCAGGTCGACCAGCTCGCCCGGGAGCACCACATCTACCTCACGCGCGACGGCCGCATCTCGGTCGCCGGCGTCACCAAGCACAACGTGCGCCACCTCGCCGAGTCGCTCCACAAGGTGACGGCCAACGACGCTTGAGCAGGAGGCCGTTGTCAATCCAAGATCAGTCTGCAGTGCGTGTCCAGGTCCGCGAGGAGCGAGTTCGAGTCGGCCAAGAGGCACGAGCACGCCAACGTGCAAACGCTGTGAGCAGGAGCAGCAGGTCGTCGGCCCGACGAGCGAAGGCGATCGGCGCGGCCCAAAAACGGCGCTCGCCCCGCACGCTTCGAGGCCCGTTCCGCCCAGATGGGCCGCGAGAGTTGTCGGCACCCGCGCTGTGCGCTCGCTGTGCCCGCGCTCGCTCGTGCGCCCGCTCGACTCTTGTTCCTGCACCCCCATCATGACTGCCGACGACCGACCCCTGGCGCCGTTCGAGGAGGAGCACGCCTCGCTCGCGCGCCGTCGTCGCGCCGCTCCAGCTCGACGCTCCTCCCCACTTCGTCTCTGCGTCGCCCTATGCGCGCTCGGCGGCTTGGCGCTCTTCGCCTTCGTCGGGTACTTGACCGTCCAGGTCGTGCGCACGGTGCACCAGCAGCTCGCCCACCCGCACAAGGCGCACCACGTCGACCCGGCCGTCCTCGTCGGAGATTCCGCCCAGCTCCACGCACTCGAGCCAGACGTCGTGCGCAGCTTCTACAGTCGCGACCTCGGCAGCGTCGACTCGTTCAACCTCAAGGCGGCCATCTGGCTCCGCACGAGCGACAAGCTCAAGGACCCCGGTGCGTCCTCTCTCTCTCGCCCTCTCTCTCGGGCTCTCGACTTCGACCTGACGCTCGTGCACCTACAGATGCTCTCTGGGAGAAGGTTTACGAGGCCGTGATCCTGCGCGACATCAAAATCGGCTCGAGGGCCGTGCACGCCGTTCCTCGCGTTCGGATCACGAGGGAGCACCTGCACGTGCCCGCTCTCCTTCCTCGCGCGTTCGTCACTGACACCTGGTCCTCTGCACTACAGCGACCGTCTGCGCACGCCTCACACTCGCCTTCAGTCGACCTACGTCATGCTCCCCTCGACGAGCCGCCTCGACGACTCGATCGACTATCACACGTTCCGCACGTCCCGCAACACGTCCATGCACTCGATCGACGGCGTTCTTCCTCCCGTCAACGTCGACGACACCGACGTGCCGCAGAAGGGCGTCTTTCGCGACTTCCTCGCCAACTCGGCGTGCTTCTCGCAGCTCTACGACAGCGGGTCGTCGCCTGACGGCGCCGAGGGCAACTCGACGGGCCTCAGCATCGCGACCAAGACGTTCGTGTCGCTCATCGACGACTTCCCGGTGTACAACCTCAGCTCCTACCGCCAGAAATTGCAGGAGCGAAGCGCCTTTCGCGCAAGTCGAGCTCTGCCTCTCGCACGCCCTCGCTCTCTGCATGCCGCTGACCAACCTCACCTCGCGCGCAGCAAGCGAACTGCTACTACGGTGGCCTCGGCTCGCCGCAATGCGCCCGCTTGTTCGACCAGGACGGGCACTTTGAGACGATGATCGAGTTTGACGACGCTCGCGACGGCGACAAGGCGACGGCGACCCGCATGGGCTGGCGCTACTCGCCGTTCATCACGACTCGGTTCGGCTACGTGGGCCCGCTTGACCGCGTCGAGCTGCCGCAGAAAGGCTCAGCCGGCGAGGAAGGTGCGCTCGGCGCCCTTCCCGGTACCGTCCCTCAGCCAGCTCGTGCACTGACCCTCTCTCTCTCTCTCTCTCTCTCTCTCTCTCTCTCTCTCTCTCTCTCTCTCTCTCTGCCGCATAGATTTCTCGTTCGACTGGCACATCTCGTGGGCGCCTGTGTCGCCTCTCAAGTTCAACCTTGCCGGCGTCGTCGGACTTGGTCTATCGACAGCACCCGGCTCGAACGCCTCAGCCTGGGAGCGCGCTCAAGCTCAGGACTTTGCCGACATCTTTCGTGAGCCTCTCTCCTCTCTTCTTCTCAAACCGTCGCCGTCGTGACAGACACGCTCATCTTGCGCCACGCTCGCAGATTCGTCCGTCGGGCACACGGCGCGCGGCGACGCTCGGCCGGGGCTGCGCGCCTTCCTGCGCCTCGTTCAGGCGCTCGTCGCCTTCACTCTCGTGCTGTGAGTCGTCTTCTGTGTCCGCCGAGGCTGTACTGCGTCACTGACCTCCCGTATCCGGACGTCCGCAGCCTCCACCTTTCCTACTGGTCCTCACGCACCCTGGCGACGGGCATTTCCCTTCCCCTCACCGTCCTCCACGACTCGTGGTCCGTCTTTGCCGGCCTCGCAGCTCACTTCTTTGGAAACGTCACGCACGACGGGCTCTGGGTCGCCTGGCTCGGCAGCGCCGGCGAAGCCCTCGACCTCGTCTTCAAGTCGGCTCTCCTCCTTCGCCTCGAGTTCACGTGGACAGGTCCCTTCTCGCTCGTCCCGACGAGCATGACGAGGCGCCGTCAGAGCCACTCGGAGCGAGCGAGCTCGAGGGAGGACTTGCGCTTCGGCTGGACGGCTCGGATCCTCGTGAGTCTTTCTGCTCCGCCATCGCCGCGACCTTTCGAGGCGGCAGCTCCTTGGGCTTCGGGCCGACGATCCCGAGCTCGACTGACCCTCAAGCATGTACAGGTTGTCGCCACCATCGCCACCATCTACCGCTTCGGCCCCTCGCTCCCGCACCTCATTACGGCCAGCCCGGTCAGCCCGGCCATTGTCAAGACCTACGAGGCGCCACGGCTGTGGAGGGCGCTCCATCCATGGATCGTGAGCGTCGCCTCGGCCTTGTCCCTCGTCGCAGACATCGGTCAGGTCCGTCGTCTCTCTCCTCTCGCTGAGGCCGAGCGAGCACTCACCAACTTCCCTCCTTGCCAAGCAGATCCACCTCAACTACCGTCGCGCAACGTTCGCCGGCCTGTACCGCATGGCTGCCGTGCTGCGCCTCGCTTTCGAGGTGCTCGAGGCGCTCCCGACCGTCCTCTACCGCATCTTCGGCGACTGGCACATGCGCCCGCCGTTCCGCTTCGAGGAGCTTTCCGAGATCGGCGTGTCCGCCGTCTTGGCGTGGCAGGCAGTGCGGTTCCCTGCAGTGGCGCAGACGGAGGAGGACGAGGAGTAGTCGCACGGAGCGGCCGAGGTCAATCGGAGGGGCTGCGCTCGCGCTCGCGAGGACTTCGCGCAATGAAGCTCCTCTCTCCTCGCAAAGACTTTCGAGACGTTTCTTTCGGATCAAGAGTGAGAGGAAGAGCGGCGAGGGCGACAGTCCTCTCGCTGGGCGGTCGACCTTCTAAAGACGCAAAAAGAGACCATCGTCGTTGCAGCTCTGTGTCTAGCACCATTTGCTCCATCCTCCATCAACCTTGAGCGTCGTGCTCGAGCAGTACGAGCCTGCGTCGCTCGCGAAGAAGAGGACGGCGTTGGCAATCTCGTGCGCGTGGCCCGCTCGCTTGATGTTGCCCTTGGTCGTGTGCCCGGGTGCCGAGAAGCCGGCGAGCATGGGCGTGTCGATAGCTGAGTCCGACAGAGAGGGTCAGGGACCGTGCGTAGGGACGGCGATTACGTTGAGATAAAGAGGAAGGAGAGCTCACGTCCTGGCGCGACCGCGTTGATGCGGATGCCGGCCGGGCCGACCTCGGCAGCTGCAGAAACCATGAGGCCGCGAAGCGCAAACTTGGACGCCGCATAGGCTGACGAGCCCGGGTAGCCTGTTGCGCGTCGAGAGCGTGAGCGACGACGAGGAGAAGGAAGGCGAGACGAGGCGAGAGGGGACGCACCTTCGAGGCCGAGCTGGGAGCACATGAGGACGACCGAGCAGTCCTTGCCGCCAGACGGAGACGCGAGCATGCCCCGCAGGCTGTGCTTGACGCCGAGGAAGACTGCGCAGAGGGTGACGAGCATCGGGAGCTGCTCAAGGAGAGGAGAGAGGAGAGAGAGCGTGGACGCACCGCCTCGCAGGTTGACCTTGATCGTCTTGTCCCAGTCGTCGACGTCGAGGTCGACCACGTTGGTCGTCGGGAGGCTGATGCCGGCGCACTGCACGCTCACGTCCACCCGCCCGAACCGCTCGCTCGTCTCCCGGACGTACTTCTCCGCTGTCGCCTCGTCTGCGACGTCTCCTACGACAGTCAGAACGCGTGCAGCGTCGTGTTCGCTGAGCTCGAGCGACGCAACGGCCGACGAGAGGGCGTCCTCCTTGAGGTCGACCAGGGTGACGCCCGCCGCGCCCGCCTCGAGGAACGCCTGCGCTAGCAAGAGTTAGGTCGATTGCACTTGGAGCGCGACTTCAGAGAGGCAGAGTGCGCACCTTGACCGTCGCGAGCCCGATTCCACTCGCTCCACCCTGCGGAAGTGGGGGTCAGCGGCGCGCCTCGTGGTGAAGGTCTTGAGAGAGAGGCGAGCAGTCAGACGCACCGTGACGACTGCAACCTTGCCTTCGAGAGAGTGCGCAGCAGCAGGCATAGCGATGGTAGCGCGAGAGAGCGGAGAGAGGCAGAGAAGCGCGCGTCGATTGCGTCGACCTCGCGTCGCCCCGCCGCCGCCGCCGTCGGGCCGGAGGAAAGCGTGCGCACAGGTCCGAGGGAAACGAGACGTGGCCGTGTTGCGAAAAAGCGAGAGGGGTCTACAAAGGACAAGCTCGAGGGACTAACGAGTCGACTGAGGTACAGAGACAAAGAGGAGAGGGAGGCAGACGAAGGAGGACGATCTTACAGAGTAGACGGCCCGAGGGAGGTGAGGCGAGACGAAGGGAGAGGGGGACTATACAGACGAGGGCAGTCACAGAGACGATCGCGCTCAAAGGAAGAGGCTCGACATGGCCGACGACGACGACGGGCTCGAGCGCTCCGACTGGGCAGCCGAGACGAGCGCGGCCGGCGGCGCCGACGGCGCGAGGAAGGGCGAGGCGTAGACGCGGTGGGCAAAGTCGAGGCGTGAGGCGAGCCACGAGCTCGGGGCGAGGGTGTGGATGAGGGAGCTGTGCGGCGGGAGGAGGAAGAGTCAGGGAGAGGGCTTGAAGGGGAAGAAGAAGGCGTCGGGACGCACCTCGCGCCGAGGCCCACGCCGATCAAAACACCACAGATGCCGACGAGGTGCCACACCTTGAGCTCGACCGTCGTGCCGAATGCCCTCCACCAGCCGAACCAGCCCTGCTTCTTCGGCGCCGCCTCGTCCGCCTCGTCCCTCGCCGGCCCGACGCCCTTGGCCGCGCGGTCGGGCGCCTTCTCTCCCTGCGACGCGTGAGGGAGCATCGCGCGCTCGCCGTCGCCCTCGGCGCCGCTGCTGCTGAGGTCGAGGCGCGGCGGCGACTCGCTCGCGAGCGCCGGGTCCTCGTCGCCCGAGTAGTACGGCGGGGTCGATGTCGCGGACGAGGCCGTGTCGGGCGCCCAGGAAGAGGTGGCTGTCGTGGTCGGAGGGTGACGAGGTCGGGCGGTCTCGTAGGAGGAGGGGAGGGACGAGTAGGGCGCGCGGAGCGAGGCGCGAGGCGAGAGGTCGGAGAAGAAGCGGGCGGCGTCGACCATGTCCTGGAAGGCCTCGTCTGCAGGATCGAGGGGTCAGTGTCCGACTCAAGAGGATGAGAGAGATGAGCGGTCGACGCACCTCTCTGCCCGCCGCCGTCGCTCGTGACCGCCGGGCCGACTCCCTCCTCAACCGCCCTCTCCCTCGCACGCCGCCTCTCCTCGACGCTCGCCGGTCCCGGGCTCGCGCTCCCTCCTCGGCCCCGGCCTCGCCGCCGGACAGGTGCCGCGCCGCGCCGGCTCCGGCTGTAGTACGGGGGCGAGTTGGAGCTCGGCTGGCCCGGGGCGGCGCCGAGCGGACGCGAGGCGACGAGGGGCGAGAAGCTCGCCGCCGCCGCTGACGTCGAGGGCTCGCTGACGCGCGCCGGGGTCGAGACGATCGGGATGGCGCGCGAGCGGTAGGCGACGGTGGGCGCGAGCTGCGTGCCCTCGCCCTCGTCGGACGAGGACGACTGGGGCGACGACGACGAGACGAGGACGTTGTCGCCGAGACCTTGCTCGTCGTCGTCGTCGTTGTCCTCCTCGCCCAGTGGGTCGAAGAGCGAGGTCGAGAAGGGCGACGGGCGCTTGGCGTTGTGCGGCGCGCGCGTGTCGAGCGAGGTGCGCGAGGCCGTCGCGGACGACGACGACGACGCGGCGGCGCCGATGGGCTGGAACAGGGACGCGAGCGAGACGTGCGACAAGGCAGGCGACTGCGACATGGTGGCCTGGGCGGGCGCGAGCGACAAGAGCGTCGCGAGGCTGCTCCGCAGCGCGTCCTCGAGCATCGAGCGCTGCAGCTCCGGGTCGCGCGGCATGCGCCGGGTCCTCGCGCGCCCGCGCCCGCCCTCGTCTCGGTCAACGTCCTCGAGCGCGCTGCTGTCCTCGTCGTCGCCCTCGATCGCGCGCAGGTGGTCGTCGTCGCTGCGCTCGATCGAGGACGCGGCCCGCCCGGCGCTCGCCGCCGCCGCCGCCGCCGCCGCGTCGATGGAGCCGTCGAGGTCGACCGTGCTGCTCGCGCGAGGGTGGCGGCGCGAGAGGGAGCGCGCGAGGTTCGACTGCTGCGCCGGGACGTGAGGCGCGTTGGACGGCGGCGGGACCTCGGCGTCGGAAATCGTCTCAAAGTCGCTCGAGCCGGGCGAGCCGACGCCGGTCCAAGGCGACAGCGTGGCGGCTGCAGGGCGCACACGGCGAACGAGGTCAGCGAACGCCCAGAAGAGGTGCCGCACGGCGCGTGCCTCGACCTCCGCTCCGGCACGATAGGCGCGCGCCGCCGCCGTATCCCCCGCGACGAGCTGGCGAGTAGAGAGGACGAGAGAGCTCACCGTCTGTGCCACTGTCTGTTGCGCGTGGGCGATGCGGGTCTCGTGCGCGAGCGAGAGAGGGCGAGGGCTCGGCGTCGAGGGTGCGCGGCGGCGGTGCAGGCGGCGAGGCGAACGAGCTGGGTCGAGCTGGGCGGCGCGCGCGGTCGTGCGGTTGTGGTGGTGGTGCTGGAGGGTGCCGGTGGTGCATGCTATACCGGTGCAGGCGAGCGTCGCGTGCCCGTGAGTGGCGTCAGGGAGGGGAGGAGACGGTGTGGGGAGACGATTCCGCTCGCGCACCGTCTCGCATTTTGTCCTCTCTTAGCGCAGTGCCCTCTCGTAATGCGTCATTACCAGCTCCTAGACTTGCCTCGCTCAGGCGCAGCGATCCACGCTCCCTCGTCGACGACGCACGCGACCACCTCCCTCGAGCTCTCTCGATCGTCTGCATGCTCGGCCTCGACGCGCAGATGCGAGCGTCTCGCGATGGATCGCTCTCTCGCACGACGCACATGCATATGAAGCCGTCGGAATCGTCGAGGTGGATGGCGTAGTCGCCGGGAGGGAAGTGCGGACAGGGACGGCGCGCGGACCCCGTGCGCGGGCCAGCGGAGGCACTGCAGCTTCGAGGGCCGTCGGCGGCGCTCACGCGTTGGCGACTGAGGCAGCGAGAGCACAGTGGCGCACCGCCGTTCGCGTCCGACGCGAGCTGAATGCGTGCGAGAGCGGCAGCAAGGTCGAAGCGAGAAGCCGACAGAAGAGAGCTCCCGCCGCAGCCTCTCTCCCGGACGGCTCGGCGACGCATGGTGCGGGTATGTACACGTCCGATTGCGAGGTGCGAGTGCTTTACTTGAAGAGGGAGAAGACGAAGTTGACGGCAAAGGGAGCTGGACGACGGAGCAAGAGTCAGCGTCGTGGTCCCGCAGCTCGCCGGCGCTCCCCGCCCTCTGCCCATGGGCACTGCCGCGACGATGAACGCCAGAGAGAAGCTGTACGCACCCGCACGGAGGACGCCGATCGTGACGAGGAAGCTCTTGAGCGTCTGGCGAGCCTGGAGCTTGGCGAGCGCGAGCTGGGCGGGCGAGGGTCCCTGTTGCTGACCTGTGGGGGTAGTACGAGTCAGTACGATTGATTGTGGGCCCTGGACACCAGCTCGCACGCCCTGCGCGGCTTTCGACGAGAGGGAGGAGATGAGGCGAGGTGGGAGGTCGGGGTTCGACTAGACGAGCGTCGCGCACGCCGACGAGTGCAGACGGCGATCCTGCAGCATGAGAAAAGCCGACTCACCGGCAAACATGGTGTCCTGGCGAGTCGAGGGTGGTGTTGGAGGAGGAGGAGCCGGAGAGGAAGCTCGAGACTCATCATCGTTCCCACTCCACACGCTCGCAGTTCGACATGGCCTCGCTCGTCATCCCTGGACAGCCACTCTCGGCCCAAGGGCCAAGCGCGCAGCTCGCACCCGGGCCGGGCACCTTCTCGCGCGGCGGCCAGGTCTACGCGGCTCTCGTCGGTCAGGTCTCGCGCGAGGGAGGCGTGCGTCCAGAGTTTCTCTCGCGTGAATGCACGAGATAGCACTGACGAGCCGCTTGCGCACCGTGCAGGTCCTCAGCGTCAAGGGCAAAGAGGAGACGCAGGCCATCCCCGAGCCGAATGCCACGGTCCGTCCCTTCTCTCGCCGCCTGCGTGCTCCATTCGCTTTTGCATGCTGATCATCCGCACATGCACAGGTCATCGGTACGGTCACCCGCATCACCCGCCAGGCGGCGACCCTCTCGCTCCTCACCGTCGACGGCCGCCCTTGCCGACCCGACTTTACCGGCATCATCCGCGCCCAGGACGTGCGCCAGACGGCCAAGGACTCGGTCAAGGTGAGCTCATCGTACTCTCTGTGCCTGTTCGCGGCAGGAAGCTGACCTCGTGCCGCCTCGTTCGCGCAGATCTGGTCGTGCTACCGACCAGGCGACGTCGTTCGCGCCAAAGTTGTGCGTCCCGAGTCTCGCAGGCTCACTCTCTCGCACACGCGATACTGACCCGTCTTCCTCCAGATCTCGCTCGGCGACTCGCGATCCTGTGCGCCCTTCTCGCCCCGTCGACTCTTCCTCGCGTCCTCGTCCCTGACCGCCCTGCGCCCGCTCTCCCGCCCGCAGACTTCCTCTCGACCGCGGCCAACTCGCTCGGCGTCCTCTTTGCCGTGTCGTCGACGACGGGCGAGCCGCTCGAAGCCGTCTCGTGGGAGGAGATGAGGGACGTGACGACGGACGAGCGGGAACCGCGAAAGGTGGCTGGGCCCGAGTGAGGTCTTCAGGCGCGCGCGGTGGACGGCGGCAGTCTTGACAGTGTTGTAACGAGTAGGCGTGCATCCTCTCGGTCGTGCGCTGCGCCGCTGAGAGACTGCCTCTGAGTTCACGCTCGCGAGGCTCCACCTCTGAGCGATCCCGACCCTCCTCAACCACCCGCTCCCGCCCTCGCTGCTCACGCGCGACATCCGCACTACACGCTCAAGGTGAGCCACGCAGTCCCGGCTTCTCTGCCACGCGCCTTCTCGCGCCTCGTCGTCGTGACGACCACCCGCGCCGTCATCGAGCGAGTCGCAGCCCGACACTGCGACGAGAACGGCGGGCGAGGCCGCGTAGGTGTCCATGCGCCTCAGAGAACTGTACTAACCGTGGCTGCACCTGCGCCCTTGCCTGCTTGCCGCGCAGACACCCTCCCCCGCCGCGACCACCCTCCCGACCTCCCTCAACCTCGACCTCATCTCGCTCGAGCCAGTGCGTGCCTCTCTCTGTCCTGCAGATTGATCAAGCTGACAAGCCACCCTCCCGCCACAGTGGACGAGCACTACGACTTTGTGCGCCCTCCTCCCTCTTGTCCTCATCGACGAGCGGCAACCTGATCGTCCTCGCGCCGACCACAGATCATCCTCGGCACCGGCCTGACGGAATGTGTCCTCTCGGGACTCCTGTCGGTCGAGGGCAAGAAGGTTCTGCACATGGACCGGTGCGTCGTCTTGCGGCTTTCGAGACGCGGCCTCAGGCGGGGCGGGGCCGCTTCTCGTCACTTCGGCTCGGCCGTACACTGACCCTTTCTCGGTGTGCGCGCGAAGCAACGACTACTACGGCGCCGAGGCGGCTAGCCTCAACTTGACCCAGGTGCGCCGTCCGATCACGTCCAGCTGCATGTCAGTTGCTCACCCCCTCTCTCTCGCCCACGCAGCTCTACAAGAAGTTCCGTGGCACCGAGCCGCCTGCCGACCTCGGCCGCGACCGCGACTACGCCGTCGACCTCATCCCCAAGTTGTGCGTCCCCTCGCGCTCCTGCCTCTCTCCTGCCAGCGCCGGCAGCTGACCCACCGTCGCCGTCCGCAGCATGATGGCCAACGGCGAGATGACCAAGATGCTCGTCCACACCGACGTGACGCGCTACCTCGAGTTCAAGCAGATCGCCGGGTCGTACGTCCTGCGCGACAACCGCATCGCCAAGGTGCCGTCGACCGAGCGTGAGGCCGTCACGAGCTCGTTGATGGGCCTCTTCGAGAAGCGCCGCGCGCGCAACTTCTTCCTGTGGGTCCAGGGCTACAAGGAGGACGAGCCGTCGACGCACCAGGGTCCGTCCCGCTCTTCCTTTCCATCGTCGGCTTGAGGGCCAGCAGAACTGACGCCTTCTCCTCGTGCGCTCAGGCCTCAACCTCGACAAGAGTACGATGAAGGACGTCTACTACAAGTTTGGCCTCGAGGCCGGTACGCAGGACTTTGTCGGCCACGCCATGGCGCTCTACCTCGACGACGAGTGCGTCCTCTCTCCCTCACTCTCTCGCGTCCCTTCTCTCGAGCCGCACTCGTCTCACCTCGACGTCGCCCTCGCAGCTACCTGAACCAGCCTGCGCGCGAGACGTACGAGCGCATCATCCTGTACACGTCGTCAATGGCGCGGTACGGCAAGTCGCCTTACCTGTACCCGCTGTACGGCCTCGGCGAGCTCCCGCAGGGCTTTGCGCGCCTGTCGGCCATCTACGGCGGCACGTACATGCTCGACAAGCCGGTCGACAAGATCGAGTACGACGAGCGCGGCAAGTTTGTCGGCGTCACGTCGGGCGGCGAGACGGTCAAGGCCGACAAGGTGATTGGCGACCCGAGCTACTTTGTCGACGCGTCGGGCAAGGGCGGCGCCGACAAGGAGGACAAGGTGTTCCTCGAGGGCCACGTCGTGCGCGCCATCTGCATCCTGCGGCACCCGATCCCCAACACGGACGACCTCGACTCGGTCCAGCTCATCATCCCGCAGAAGCAGGTCGGCCGCAAGCACGACATCTACGTCGCCGAGGTGTCGGCGACCCACAACGTGTGCGCCAAGGACGTCTACATCGCCATCGTGTCGACCGTCGTCGAGACGGGCAACCCCGAGGCTGAACTCGAGCCGGGCCTCAAGCTCCTCGGGCCCATCCACGACAAGTGCGTCCTCCTTTCTTCGCCCCTCGCATGTCCTCCGTCTCTCGTGCCAGTGCCATAGGCCCTGACTCGCGTTCCTCTCGCGCAGGTTCATCTCGATCGCGCCCGTCTACTCGCCAGCTTCGTCCGGGTCGCACGACGGCGTGTTTGTCACGCGGTCGTACGACGCGACGAGCCACTTCGAGACCATGGTCGACGACATCAAGGACGTGTGGCGCCGGGCCGTCGGCGGCGAGCTCGAGCTCAAGAAGCGCGACGACGCGCTCCAGGCCGAGTGAGCGCCCGCACGCTCTCGGTCGACGGACTCGGGCTTGCGCTCTCTCTTCCTCGGCGAACTGCGCCTGTCTCACTCCCTTTCGTCATCCCTCCATAGTTCTCTCGTTCCGCCTCGTTGAGCCATTCTCCACACCGCCCCGGTCAGCGCCCGGCCTCGTCTCGATGTAATTCTAGAGTCATTCTGTCTGCATTCGCCTTCCTCGCGCACCATCTCTCACTGCGGCACAGGAGAGCTGTCTCTCGGGCTAGCAGCTGGCTCCTTCGGCTCTCGAATTTCGCGACCGAGAGAGAGGCTCGCCGGACTGCTTGAGCTGCCAGCTGCTGTACCGCAGTCTCGATGCGCATGCAAGGTCTAGTGCTACACTGTGGCAACGAGGAGAGGATCAGTCCTGTCGCGAGAGAGAAAGAGAGAGGGCGAGGGAGAGAAGGAGGACGTACAGTACATTCCGCCACCTCGTCGGCGCGCTCCGTCTCGCTCCTCAGACTTTGCGGACAGGCTCGTCGATCGGGACCTCCTGCGCCGGGGGCGGGAGGAGGTCCTCGCCGTCCTTGGTCTTGCCCGGCTGGAGCGACGTGCCCGGGAGCGGAGGGACGGGCGCTGTGTGGGCGTCGTCCTCGGGGCGGAAGGTGCCGTGGGTCGAGCTGTGCGCGCCCGACGAGGTCAGTGAGTGAGGCCACACCGTGTGGCAGGGAGAGGTAAGCGCACTCCTTGTACGACTCGAGCAAGGGCTCTGTGGGACGGGGCGAGGCGAGAGGGTCAGTCGGGGATCGAGGAGAGGAAGAGAGCGAGGCAGGGGGCGCACTGAAGATCCAGATGCCGCTGCCGACGCCAATGGCCATGGCGAGGAAGGGCGAGGCGAGGCGACCGCGCATCGACATGGTGGCCGGACGAGTCGAGGAGCTGGATGGAGGGTGAGGTAGGGAGAGTAGGAGGAGGAGTTGGGTTGAGAGGCGGGGCGGTCGAGAGGCGAGTCGCTGGACGGGGTCTGTAGTCTGCTGAGGGTCTGGTCGAGCAGGCAGGCAGCCTCAGTGAGCAGTGTGCGAGTGACCTTGGCCAGGTTGCGTCGGATGATGAGACTCAGGTCCGTCCTCGCTCTGTCCACCCCTGTGCGCCCGCTGTGCAGCACGCTCGACCAGACTCGACCACTCGTACAGCTCGACTCGACCCAGAGCGCGCTCTCCAGCACCCGCCCTCGTCGCCAGGCGCCGCCGAGCATGGAGCTCCCCGCAACCTCGCTCTCGCTCCCGCGCGCCCTCCCCTTCCCCATCACGGTCCAGCGCATCCACTCGCCCGTCGGCACCACCGTCCAAAAGACCGCCACCCTCCTCACCTACTCGTTCGTGCCCGCCCTCCCGGACGAGGACGGCAACCGCGTCCGCCAGGTCCGCCAGTGGGAGTCGCCCATCGCGGGAGACGTCGTGCAGTGGGCCGTGCGCGCCGGCGACTTGGTCCGGGACAACAGGTGCGCCCCTACTGCCTGTCACGAGTCGGCGGCGAGCGAGGTCGCGGACCCACCCCCCTCCCCACCATCAGTCGACTGACTTGCTCTCGTTCTCCCACCGCCCCGCAGTCAGCCCATCGTTCACATCAAGGAGCCGTGCACCCATGACGTCCAGCTTCAAGGCCTGTGCGCCCTCTGCGGCAAGGACCTGACGACGTGCGTCCGCTCTTTCTCTCTGTGTATCTCCCCTCTCCTCGAGTCGCGCTGACTCGTGCGTTGCCCCTCGCGCAGCGTCGACTACACGGGCTTCTCCGACACGTCCCGTGCGACGATCAGCATGGTCCACGACGTCGGCGGTCTCACCGTCTCGCTCGACGTGCGTCCTTCGCCTCCCTCCCCCTCTCTCTTCCCTCCCCAATGCACAGCTGACTCGCTCCCTCCCACGAGCAGGAAGCACACCGCCTCGAGTCGGCCACCACCAACCGCCTCCTCGGCGCCAAGAAGCTGTCGCTCATCGTCGACCTCGACCAGACGATCGTGCACGCGACCGTCGAGCCGACCGTGTGGGAGTGGATGCAGGACCCCAAGAACCCCAACTACTCGGCCCTCGAGGGCGTCAAGCGCTTCAAGCTGTCGGACGAGAGCCCGGCGAGCACGTCGTCGAGGAGGAAGAGGGACCGCGAGGGCCGGCGGGCCGCGGCGGCGGCGAGGACGAGCGAGGGAGGGGACGAGGCCGACGACGAGAGCAGCGAGGACGACGACGATGCCGATGGCTGCTGGTACTACATCAAGATGCGGTGCGTCCCCCCTCCTCCTCCTCGACTCGGTGCGCGACCAGGACCTGACCTTGGCTGCCCCCCTCCTCCCCTCGCTCGCAAAACAGGCCCGGCTTGCCCGACTTCCTCAAGCGCGTGTCCGAGATCTACGAGATGCACGTCTACACGATGGGCACGCGCGCCTACGCCAAGGAGGTGTGCAAGGTCATCGACCCGGACGGCGGCCTGTTCGGCGGGAGGATCCTCAGCAGGGACGAGAGCGGCAGTGCGTCCCCCTCTCTCTCCCTCTCTCGCCCTCGGGCCCGACGTCCCCTGACACTGTGCCTCGTCCTACAGGTTTGACGAGGAAGAGCCTGCAGCGCCTGTTCCCGTGCGACACCAACATGGTCGTCATCATTGACGACCGCGCCGACGTGTGGGACGGCAGCCCGCACCTCGTCAAGGTCATTCCCTGTGCGCTCGACTCTCTCTCTCTCTCTCTCTCCCTCTCGCTCGCAGCATTATCTGACGCCGTCCCCCCGCAGACGAATTCTTCGTCGGCATCGGCGACATCAACGCGGCGTTCCTGCCCAAGAAGAAGGAGCTCGTGCCTCCTCCCTCGTCGGCCCCGCCGCCGCCCGTCGCCGCCGCCACCACCGCCCAGTCGATCGCCCCTTCCTCGTCGCCCTCGCCCGACCCGAGCGAGCCCTCGCGCACCACGCGCACAACGACCCCGACCGACTCGCCCCCTCCTCACGCCCCGCTCCACCTGCCCGACGCCATCGCCTCCGAGCCCACCACCGTCTCGGACCTGCTCGTCGAGCCGTCGTCGTCCACCGACATCGACGTCGTCGTCGCGCCCGCGCTTGCCGAGGCGTCGAGCGCCGCCCAGCACGCCATCCACGACGTCATCGAGGCGCGCCCGCTCGAGAAGGCGGCGCGCGAGGCGCACGAGGCGCACGAGCGCCACGTCGCTGCGGGCGGGTCGCACGAGCCGAGCCCCGTCGCGGGTGAGCAGAGCGCGACGCCGCCCGAGGTGGGTGAGGTGGAGGAGGAGGCGGCGCTGGGAGAGGGCGAGGGGTTGGAGGATGAGGACGAGTGGGAGGAGGAGGCGGTGCTCAAGGACGATGACCGCGAGCTGGACCGGGTCTACGAGGTGCGTCTCCTCCCCCTCCTGTCGCCCTGCGTGTCGTCGCAGAGCGTGCGCTTACCTGGCCCCCCTTGCAGATCCTGTCGACGGTCCGCGACCGCTTCTTCGAGGAGCACGAGGCTCGGGGCTCAGCAGACGTTGCAGTACGTCCACCTCTCTCCCTCTTTTCCTTGCGCTCCTCAGTCGGCCGTCGACGAGCGGACCCTGACGCCTGCCCCTTGCCCGCCTCCTTGCTCGCTTCGCCCTCAGTCCATCATTCCCTCCCTCAAACGCCTCACCCTCGCCTCGACCCGCCTCGTCTTCTCCGGCCTCGTCGCCCTCGGCCAGTCGCCCGAGTCGTCCGAGTACTGGAAACTCGCCACAACGTTCGGCGCGCACTGCTCGACCGACCTCTCGAGCGCGACGACGCACCTCGTCGCCAACCAGGAGGGCACCGCCAAGGTGCACCAGGCGCGCCGAGCTCGCGCCAAGGGCGCCAAGGTCGAGATCGTGTACCCGCAGTGGCTCCTCGACAGCGTCGCGAGGTGGACTCGCCTGCCCGAGGAGGCGTACCTCCTCCCCGAGCCGGCCGCCGACGGCTCGGCCCCAGGGTCGCCTGTCCACCCCGAGCTCAGCGCAGGCGAGGACAACGGCCTCGCAGATGCGCCTGCTGCGGGCGGCCCCGACGACACGGCGGCCGATCCCGCGCTCGACGCGCCGGACGACGACGACGACCTGCACCTCGACGACCTCGACTGGGGCGACGCCATGAAGGAGGTCGACGACCTCCTCCTCGAGACGGACGACGACGACACGGCGTCCCTCCTTGGCGGCGGTGACGGCGCAGGCGGAGGAGCGACCGACGGCGAGAGCGACGCGAGCGCTGCGCCAACCCCCGAGAACGGCGGTTCCGGGAGCGCGGCCGGCGCAGCGCGCAGCCCGCGCAAGCGGCCTCGTGCGTCGTCGCCCGGCGGCGCGTCTGCGGGAGGAGGCGGTCGCGATGACGCCGCTCACGCGTCGAGCCCTTCCAGGCCGACCGAGTCGCCGCTGCAAAAGCGCGTCAAGACGGCCCGCAGCCGCCGGTCCGGCCTCAAGCAGTCGCTGAGTGCAGCTGCGCTTGAGCGTGCAGCTGCGCTAGCTGCAGGGGAGGAGGCAGAGGGACACTTGGCAGATGGAGACGGAGAGATGGGAGCTTGGGCACCTCGGAGCGAGGCAGCCAGTGTGGCCAGCTCGAGCATCGCGAGCGACGACGAGGACTTGCTGGCCATGGCGGCCGACTTGGAGCAGGGTTGGGCATAAGGCTGAGTTGCAACTTGCGGGCGTGTTCGCAAAGAGTTTCTTAGCAGTGCTGTGTTTCTTACTTGTGCATGGAGAGCAAGGAGGGGAGAAAAGGAAAGGGAAAGAGACATGGAGAGCGCATCAGGAGACTTGGTGCTGGGGCTGCAGGTCTTGGGAATCAGGCAGCATCTGTCTGTGACAGCCGTGTGGATACAGCTTTCTTGAGACCCTACAAAAAGTCGGGAGTAGAAAACTAGTAGCTTTTGGTAGCGTCTCGGTGCAAATCGGTAACAGAGTGGTAGAGCCGAGCTCGACGCGAGCGGTAACCGGCCGGTAACCAAATGGTAAGTCGCTCGTCGCCCGCCGGCGGGCCTCCCCCGAAGTGCGTTCCCCACTCGCTCTCGCGGTCGGCTCGTCGCCTTCGTCCCTCCTCGCACTACCATTTCAACACCAAATTGTTACCGCTCGCTGTCCTCTCGGCGTCACCCACTTTGGCTCGCAGTCTCGCCGACTCTGACGACTTAGCGCTTCTCGCAGCCTCCGCCTCTCTCTTCCCTTCCCACCACTCGCCTTTCCTCTCCCACTTGTACGGCCTCGCGCGCACCGCCAAGCGTGCAGCACGACAGCACTGACTAGTTCTACTGTACGTAGAAGCGCTGCGCGTCGTCGTCGTCTCGTTCGAGCGTGGGTGGTCGTCATCTGCTGGTGAGTCCCCCCTCCTCTCCCTCCTTCCCCTCAGTGCCTGGTGCATCGTCCAGCCGGCACAGATGCACTGACCACCTCTCCTATCCCGGCGTGTGCGCGCAGGGCGTCTCCGTTGAGTCCCTGCTCTCGCTCCCCTCGCTCGACCCCCCTTCCCCGCACTCCTCTCGCCCTGCCTCGTCTCGCTCTCAGCAGCGTCCGCCGGGCTCTCACACGCACACTGACGAGTCTCGGTGCATCGCGGCACGCAGGTGACGGGCTCTCAAGATCCCGCCGTGAGTCCTCTCTTCCCCTCGTCCCTCTCCTTTCCCCGGCGAGTCTGAGTGCGGGCGAGCTCGAAGCGGCACCGGCACAGTGCAGGGCAGAGCACGGTAGCGTCGAGGAGTGGAGCTAGTGGAGGAGAAGGCGAGGCGCTTCAGGCTCCCTCTCGAACGCGGCGCTGACCTCGTCGTCGTCGCTCGCAGATTCAGTCCGTCTCGAGCATCTTCTCGAGTGTGCGTCTGTCTTTCTCTCTTCTATCTGTCAAGGAGTACAGCGACTGACTCTTCTGTAGCTCTCTCCTCTTCCTTCTGTAGCAGAGCAATTGGTGCGTCCGCGCTCCCTCCTCTTCTCCTTCCCCGCGAGCCGGTACTGACGCTCTCTCTCTCCCTCCTTTCTCCTCGTACCGCGCAGATCCTGCTCGAGCGTCTGTCTACATGCGCAAGGTGCGTCACTCTCTCTCCCTCGCGCGCCTCTCTCTTGTCTAGTTCGCCTCCTGCACTTCAGTTGTTTCGCCTCTTCTCCAACTTGCTGCCGAGGCCTCTCGGTGGCAATGGGTACCATTTTGGTACCGCAGCGAGAGCCGAAAGCGAGCGAGAAGCAGCAGCTACCAGAGCGGTACCGGTCTAGTACCATTCTGGTACCGGGCGAGAGAAGCAGCCGCGAGCGCGACCGCAAGAAGAGTAAGATTGGAAAACTAGCGGTAGCTTTCTGGTTGAATTCTGTGGCCGATCTGTAACTTTTGGGTAGCGAGACCGCCCGATCCGGTGGGCGCGGTGATGCTCGGCGGTAGGCCGAGGCCGGTGGAGAACAGTACCCAACCGCTACCGAAAGCTACCAAAAGCTACCGGTTTTCTACTGCCGACTTTTTGTAGGGCTTGAGAGGCTGGCGCAATGCTGCGAGGTGCTTATGGCCCAGTTCTGCAGAGGCAACCCTGTTCCTGGCAAGCCTGACCGTCTCGGACCCAAACCGTTTGCACGCGCAGCTCGATGAGGACCAGGGCTACCGGCCTACCGCTCAGCACAGGGACCATTTAATAGCATACCTTGATGGTAATGGAGCCAGATTTGCGATAATGCATCAAGAGCATGCTGAGCGGGACCATCCCCCCGAGGCTGCACCTTCTTTTTCCCTCCAGCCGGCCGTGACACGGTCGGATTGGGCCGCCCCTGCAGGGCAGAATAGAGTAAGATGCGCTCTAAATGGTTAGCTAGGTTAGAGGTTGAACGGACCTTGTGGCCCAGCTCAGCAGAGGCACACCTGTTCCTGGCAAGCCCCACCCTCTCGGACCCAAACCGTTTGCACGCGCAGCTCGATGAGGACCAGGGCTACCGGCCTACCGCTCAGCACAGGGACCATTTAATAGCATACCTTGATGGTAATGGAGCCAGATTTGCGATAATGCATCAAGAGCATGCTCAGCGGGACCATCCCCCTGAGGCTGCACCTTCTTTTTCCCTCCAGCCGGCCGTGACACGGTCGGATTGGGCCGCCCCTGCAGGGCAGAATAGAGTAAGATGCGCTCTAAATGGTTAGCTAGGTTAGAGGTTGAACGGAGCTTATGGCCCAGTTCTGCAGAGGCGACCCTGTTCCTGGCAAGCCAGACCGTCTCGGACCCAAACCGCTTGCACGCGCAGCTCGATGAGGACCAGGGCTGCCAGCCTACCGCTCAGCACAGGGACCATTTAATAGCATACCTTGATGGTAATGGAGCCAGATTTGCGATAATGCATCAAGAGCATGCTCAGCGGGACCATCCCCCTGAGGCTGCACCTTCTTTTTCCCTCCAGCCGGCCGTGACACGGTCGGATTGGGCCGCCCCTGCAGGGCAGAATAGAGTAAGATGCGCTCTAAATGGTTAGCTAGGTTAGAGGTTGAACGGAGCTTATGGCCCAGTTCTGCAGAGGCAACCCTGTTCCTGGCAAGCCTGACCGTCTCGGACCCCAACCGTTTGCACGCGCAGCTCGATGAGGACCAGGGCTGCCAGCCTACCGCTCAGCACAGGGACCATTCAATAGCATACCTTGATGGTAATGGAGCCAGATTTGCGATAATGCATCAAGAGCATGCTCAGCGGGACCATCCCCCTGAGGCTGCACCTTCTTTTTCCCTCCAGCCGGCCGTGACACGGTCGGATTGGGCCGCCCCTGCAGGGCAGAATGGAGTAAGATGCGCTCTAAATGGTTAGCTAGGTTAGAGGTTGAACGGAGCTTATGGCCCAGTTCTGCAAAGGCGACCCTGTTCCTGGCAAGCCTGACCATCTCGGACCCAAACCGTTTGCACGCGCAGCTTGATGAGGACCAGGGCTGCCAGCCTACCGCTCAGCACAGGGACCATTCAATAGCATACCTTGATGGTAATGGAGCCAGATTTGCGATAATGCATCAAGAGCATGCTCAGCGGGACCATCCCCCTGAGGCTGCACCTTCTTTTTCCCTCCAGCCGGCCGTGACACGGTCGGATTGGGCCGCCCCTGCAGGGCAGAATGGAGTAAGATGCGCTCTAAATGGTTAGCTAGGTTAGAGGTTGAACGGAGCTTATGGCCCAGTTCTGCAGAGGCAACCCTGTTCCTGGCAAGCCTGACCGTCTCGGACCCCAACCGTTTGCACGCGCAGCTCGATGAGGACCAGGGCTGCCAGCCTACCGCTCAGCACAGGGACCATTCAATAGCATACCTTGATGGTAATGGAGCCAGATTTGCGATAATGCATCAAGAGCATGCTCAGCGGGACCATCCCCCTGAGGCTGCACCTTCTTTTTCCCTCCAGCCGGCCGTGACACGGTCGGATTGGGCCGCCCCTGCAGGGCAGAATGGAGTAAGATGCGCTCTAAATGGTTAGCTAGGTTAGAGGTTGAACGGAGCTTATGGCCCAGTTCTGCAGAGGCAACCCTGTTCCTGGCAAGCCTGACCGTCTCGGACCCCAACCGTTTGCACGCGCAGCTCGATGAGGACCAGGGCTGCCAGCCTACCGCTCAGCACAGGGACCATTCAATAGCATACCTTGATGGTAATGGAGCCAGATTTGCGATAATGCATCAAGAGCATGCTCAGCGGGACCATCCCCCCGAGGCTGCACCTTCTTTTTCCCTCCAGCCGGCCGTGACACGGTCGGATTGGGCCGCCCCTGCAGGGCAGAATAGAGTAAGATGCGCTCTAAATGGTTAGCTAGGTTAGAGGTTGAACGGAGCTTATGGCCCAGTTCTGCAAAGGCAACCCTGTTCCTGGCAAGCCTGACCGTCTCGGACCCCAACCGTTTGCACGCGCAGCTCGATGAGGACCAGGGCTGCCAGCCTACCGCTCAGCACAGGGACCATTCAATAGCATACCTTGATGGTAATGGAGCCAGATTTGCGAACCTGTTCCTGGCAAGCCTGACCGTCTCGGACCCAAACCGTTTGCACGCGCAGCTCAATGAGGACCAGGGCTACCGGCCTACCGCTCAGCACAGGGACCATTCTAATAGCATACCTTGATGGTAATGGAGCCAGATTTGCGATAATGCATCAAGAGCATGCTCAGCGGGACCATCCCCCTGAGGCTGCACCTTCTTTTTCCCTCCAGCCGGCCGTGACACGGTCGGATTGGGCCGCCCCTGCAGGGCAGAATAGAGTAAGATGCGCTCTAAATGGTTAGCTAGGTTAGAGGTTGAACGGAGCTTATGGCCCAGTTCTGCAGAGGCGACCCTGTTCCTGGCAAGCCAGACCGTCTCGGACCCAAACCGCTTGCACGCGCAGCTCGATGAGGACCAGGGCTGCCAGCCTACCGCTCAGCACAGGGACCATTTAATAGCATACCTTGATGGTAATGGAGCCAGATTTGCGATAATGCATCAAGAGCATGCTCAGCGGGACCATCCCCCTGAGGCTGCACCTTCTTTTTCCCTCCAGCCGGCCGTGACACGGTCGGATTGGGCCGCCCCTGCAGGGCAGAATGGAGTAAGATGCGCTCTAAATGGTTAGCTAGGTTAGAGGTTGAACGGAGCTTATGGCCCAGTTCTGCAAAGGCGACCCTGTTCCTGGCAAGCCTGACCATCTCGGACCCAAACCGTTTGCACGCGCAGCTTGATGAGGACCAGGGCTCCCGGCCTACCGCTCAGCACAGGGACCATTCAATAGCATACCTTGATGGTAATGGAGCCAGATTTGCGATAATGCATCAAGAGCATGCTCAGCGGGACCATCCCCCTGAGGCTGCACCTTCTTTTTCCCTCCAGCCGGCCGTGACACGGTCGGATTGGGCCGCCCCTGCAGGGCAGAATGGAGTAAGATGCGCTCTAAATGGTTAGCTAGGTTAGAGGTTGAACGGAGCTTATGGCCCAGTTCTGCAAAGGCGACCCTGTTCCTGGCAAGCCTGACCATCTCGGACCCAAACCGTTTGCACGCGCAGCTTGATGAGGACCAGGGCTGCCAGCCTACCGCTCAGCACAGGGACCATTCAATAGCATACCTTGATGGTAATGGAGCCAGATTTGCGATAATGCATCAAGAGCATGCTCAGCGGGACCATCCCCCCGAGGCTGCACCTTCTTTTTCCCTCCAGCCGGCCGTGACACGGTCGGATTGG